GCAAAATAGCCTTCCATTATTAGTACTTTTTATTATAGGAACTCCTTCTCACAGAAAATCTGCCAGATCATATTATCCCTTGCTTCAGATGAATTTTTTTTCTGAGTTTTTCTGTTATTCATGTGTATTGTACTGTTACAATAAAACCAAAGGAACATAATACATTGGGTGATGTGGTAAAGCTGGTATATAAGTTGGAGTCATAACTATCACCCCATTCTTACTACCAACATTTGTCTCTTGACCAATTAAATGGCCAATGCCAAGTAAAGATTCCTTGTTATTGCAGAGGTTGATTCCAGTCAGTTGAGACGCCAACTGTGTGGAGGCAGCCAGGCAGCCATTGAAAGAATGATTCACTTTGGCAGAGAATTGCAAGCCATGAGCGAACAACTCAGAAGAGAGTGTGGCAAAAACACAGCAAATAAGAAGATGCTCAAAGTAAGTTTAAATGCCCTACAGTGTAAGTTTGTGATATTATCACTCACACACATGAAATACCAGTAATATGATACACTTATATTAAGAGGTAGGGAAAATATTAGTACTGTAATTATGTTCCCTTTTTGATAGTGATGTGATTCTTCAAGAATTTTTTGAAGCAGTACAATGTATGCCTGAAAAGTTGGTTAAAATAATAACAATAATAATAGTGATGATGATGATGATGATATATTTATATACCGCCCTATCTCCCCAAAGGGACTCAGGGTGAGTTTACAGACAAAAGTAACAAAGTGGCTGACATGGCCTTGAGCAGGACTTGAAATAATGTGGTTTGGGAGGTGACAAGGGGGAATCCCATTCCCTCCTCCTTCAGTGGTCATGGCAAAGCCGACACACATTTCAGACAAAATGCTGTGTTTCCCCCCAAACCACCCTTTTTAAGGGATAAGAAACATGTTGTCAAGTTCACTGCATCTTTTGGAAGGCTCCCTTCCACAAAACATCTTCCAAAAAGTGGTGCTTTTTCACTTTTGCCAAAATAACAGCCCTGATGGTGTACAAAGTCCTCCAGGACAGCCAGAAAATAGGCAGTGTGTTCCTTTTTTCCTAGGGCCATTTCCTGCTTGATAAACTAGCTATTCCACATAAACCTGTCTGGTTATTCAGAACAGAAGGAGATTTTTTTGGAAGATGTCTCTGCTTGCAGAAACCTTGTTATTAGCATATAGAAAGAGAATTCATCTTATATGGCTCCTAAATTTGGAATATGTTCCTTCAGAGTTCCAGTTGGTTCCCATTCCCTCCTTGTTCAAGGAGGTCAAAAGACATTTTTTAAACTTGGCTTTAAATGATATTTTATTACTTTTGATAGGTTTGATTTGTATGGGGCTTTCTTAACTCCCTCATGTTGTTGAACTTCAGAAAGCAATATAAAGAAACTTCAAACATAATAGGCCTTTTTGTTCCATCTGTTCTCTGTTAGTGAAAAACCATGCTATATACTATTTTTGAAGCTCTTCCATCACAGATGACTTTAAAGACATTTAACACACTATTGGGAGTGTATTTTTTGCCCAACATGGTATATGTTCTAAAGAGACTAAAGAGTGAGATAAAAACTAAAAGAGAAAGCATATGTAGTTTATTTTGATTGTATAGTAACAGCTAAAATTTTATGGAAGTTATTGTAGGAAATAACCACTGATTTCTCAACAGGATGCATTTAGTTTACTTGCATATTCGGATCCCTGGAGCAGTCCCGTGGGAAACCAGCTGGATCCCATTCAGAGGGAGCCTGTGTGCTCTGTTCTCAACAGTGCAATACTAGGTAAGCTTTGTCAACTTTCCTCTTGCAACATAACTGTATAAATGCATTAAACTAAGAGTACTTCTATGTTGTGAATGGGGCAAGGAATGATGATTCTTAAGTTTGTGGAACATAAAGAAAGGCTGAAATGTAAATAGTCAAATTCAGTAGCTGATCGAGGACATTTATCCTGCCTGTATATTGGCACAAAAACAATGACATAAACAGTCACTTTTTCTAGGTGAATTATCAACTTTCACCGGGTTTTGAGCCCTTAAAATGCATGTATGGTTTGATAACCGGTCAGAGGAAGCGTGCTTTCCAAGAGACAGGGCATCTTAATTGCATCTGCCAAAGCTTTGCTAAATCATACTTGGGGTGAAAAGTGTGGGGAAGTATCTGGCTGGGGGAAATGATGCTTTGTATCCTACAGCACCATAACTTTCTCTGGAATGCTGATCTTGCTATGTTTGAATGGAGAGAAACATGCCATGTCAGTTACAGCCCTCAAGCCTTCAGTTTAAGAACTCCAGCCATGGATCTCCAAATTGGAACAGTAGTTCTGAGCCTCTTGTGATCCTTCAGCTGCCCTGCTTGGAAGCTTAGAATTGGAATAGTTGAGAGCAACACTTTAGAACATGTTTCTAGACTTACTAAAAGGCTTTATCTCCCTATTTGAGCCTGGTCCACTTTTAAGATCCTCGGGAGAAAACTGTCTCTGCTTCACAGGTTTACCTGGAAAGGATACAAATGAGGGCCGTCTCAGTGATTGTGCCCAGGCTATACAATTCTTCCCTACGACATCTAGACAAGCCCTGCTTTTCCCAACTACCAACACCCCCCCCCCCCCTTTTAATTGAAGCAGGCTTTTAGGATTCTGGTTGTGCAGAATAGGAGATAAAGACTACGGTGCTGTTCTCGTGGCTGCTTCAATTGCTTTTGTCCCATTTTAAACCTGTGTTTTATATGGATAATTTATTTCTGAACCTATATTATTTTTAGCTGTATTTCATTTTAATTTGTGCTGTTGGCTAAAATCAATCCCAACCGCCAACCGCTTAGAGTCGCCGTTGGCTGATATTTGCGGTATACAAAAGGAGTAAATAAATAAATAAATTCTGAGACAATGGCAAATCTAAATCAAATCATGGAGAGTTGGGTTTCTTGAGCACATGATTGTAAGATTGTGATTTTTCTGTCCTGTAACATAGCACAAAAAATAATTGTTGATTGTTTCCAGAGACACATAATCTACCAAAGCAGCCTCCGCTTGCGCTTGCAATGGGACAAGCTTCACAATGTCTAGGATTGATGGCCCGCTCAGGAATCGGATCCTGTGCGTTTGCCACAGTGGAAGATTATCTACACTAGCTATGCATATGAAGATGTCTGAGGTGTGTAATATGGCATATATTCAACATGAAAGTAGACCAGCTCTGCCAACTGGGAGTTTGGATTTTTTTAAATTATGTACTAAGGACAGGTCTGTTGCTTTACATTGCTTCCTAGTTTACAGCATGATGCAAATGATTTTCTAAACTACTGTTAGGAGAAGTTTTCCATCCTTAACCGGAGTAAAATATCATCAGTAACATCAGATCAACAAATCCTTGAATTGTTCCAAACAAACCAAAAAGGCCCTACCTCCTGAAAGATAGGGTCAAATAGATAATGTTGTGGATGTGTTAGTATGTGGGTGACGTAAACTTCAAGCAGGATAATTTGCCAACTTTCACCCCCATTATTACATAGATCAATCAGTGTAATTTGCAAAATGCATAAGTACCTGACAGTTTGGCTGTATAGTATTGATGGGAAGAAATATTTTTAATGTGTACTGTAAAACTTGAAATACTCAGGAGCTGAGTGAATATGTTTGTTGCTACTTAAAATCTCAACCTGTTTCCTAGTGGTTTTTGTTTTAACATGGTCTTTTCAACTCTATTTCCTGTTTAATTGCAGACAACTTACGTTGTAGACTCACCTGTTTAACTGTTGTATTATAACAGTATTACATGTCAACACAGTGTGGTTATGGCCTATTTATATAAAACCAAATATTTAGTCAATTTCAGTCTTAATTTAATCTTTGTACACCCTGCATTTTTAAAAGTGCTTAAATGAGTACTCTATTGCAATAAAATGTAGTGATATCATCATTAACCAGCCATTAAATACTTCTACTTATGGGAGGACGGTGGCTACCTTACCTTCTTGCTTGTCTCATGTTTTGAATTAAGTGACATCTAGATTTGCATTTAGATACGACTGCTGTGAAGGAACTGCCATTTATTGAGACAAGGTTGTGTTCCCATGCCTTGCTAGGGCTGCGTGCATCAGATAGACAAGGCCAAATAGATTTCTGTGCTTTGCTTTCTGTCATCCATTAAGAAATCTGTTGTTCTGCTGATAGTGGCAGAATGTAATTTCCCTTCATCTGAACCCCAAAATCTGCTGGTGAAGGGTTTCCCAGCCTCCCTTCGATGGATGCCACGGCCAGCTAGTTCCCACTTTTTATAAGCTTCAGTTTTACCAGCACTGAGAATCCTGATTGGTAAGAAACTGGCAGCTTATATGGCCCTCATCACACTAGAGGAAAAAAATCCACTTAAAATCTGGTTTCTGCCTCCTGCAGAATTCTGGGGTTTGTAGTTTAGAAAGGAGCCTCTAACAGCCTCACTAAGATACAAACCACAGAATTCTGCAGGAGGCAGAAACCAGATTTTAAGTGGATTTTTTGTCTAGTGTGATGAAGTTGTATATCTGTTTTTGTACATAGAACCAAGCACTATATAAAGGGTACATCACAGACATGGTGTGAAGTGGCGTCCGTTCATTTCCCTTTATAGTCAGTTTAATGATAAATGTGAAAGATAGCAAGTGAAGCACTTAAAACAAGTACAATACAAAACTCTGGTGCTATTACATTCCCCCCTTTGTGTTCCAATTATTCCATTTTATAGGAGAGAAAGGCTGCTAGTGCCCTCAAGGTGTTTTTGGACTACAGAAACAAAATCCTTGCCAACCATGGCTTCACAACTATTTTAAGGAGCAATGGGTTGCTTAATCCCTGCTTTTTAAAGTATCTACACAATTGTTTTAGTTAAAAAGCCAAAGTTTTATTCAAAAAATGGATAAAATATATCCACTGAAGAGGCTGAATTGGAAGATATACCAGGACAAGTTTCAACTAGACAGCAACGTTCCAAAGAATAAACATTATTCAGAAAAAAATATCCAGTATTAAGTTTGAATATAACATTTGTACAAAGTTACAGAAATGTAACAGATCTATTCAACAAGTTTTGCACAATATCTAAAATCCATATGCTCGCTTCTCTGGTGGTGTTCTATAAGTTATTGGTCAAAATGCTGTTAAGGTTTCGGGATTATTTTTGAAGATACCCAGCGTTTTGTAAATTGCTTAGCTTTTTGCTTCTTCACTTCACCTAGAGGGAAAGCAAACAAGTAGTTCAGAGATCATTAATGCCAGGTTTAATATTTTCATTGCAAGCACATGCTGTTACCATAAAAGAATTATCCACCTATGACTAAATCTGGCCTCTGCCATTTAATTTCTCTTTTTATTAAAACATGTCAGTCCCACCAAAGGGTCATTTATCACTCACTGGCTGGAAACTACTGCACCAAAGAATCTTCTCTCAATTTTCTCGTTCATATTGAGACGCCCTATACAAATTTCATTTGCCCAAAACCACTTATGAAACTTTTACAAAATTGAAAAATCACGGAAAGATGTGCAAAAGGTTGTCAAGAATGCTTACTGTTGCCGGACAAAAGCTTCTTAATTAACAAACAGCAGACATTACAAAAAACAAACCCTGGGATCTTGTGCCAATATTTCTCCTCATGCTGTTATAAAAGTAATGGACCTTTTATCATCCCACCATTTAGGAAAATTTGCCAATGGAATAAAAATTCAAAGTTAAAGACTTATTGACAAAAAAAATAATGAGGGAAAAGTAACAAATTCTATTCCCTTTTCTGAAAATACAAGAAGGTATACAATCCAATGTTTTTAGCTAGGTTTTTTTTAAACCTGACATAACTCCAGGCTGGAGTGCAGCTATAGGCCTCTCCTTGTTTCTTTCTGATGTCAGGATACTTGGCTGCAGCTCTGCCATATCCACTCTACTTGGTACTTTTATATACATGCACTCTTCAGTCAATTTCCTCTCGCACTTAAGCCAAGCCTGAAGTTTACAAATGGGAGCAATGCACCCAGAAGGTTTAGTCTTCCAAATAGTGCTTTAAACTACTCCTACGTGGCAAGCATTTTATAGATAGCAAATGGTTGTGTCTAGCAGGAAAATTGTCCTAACATAAACGTACACGGAGGAATGTTAAAAACTCACCCCAGGAGTTGTTCACAAACTGGATGGCAGCTTTTTTAACTTTACTTTTCTTGTTTTCAACAGAAAAATACTGGTTTGCTGAAAAGACAAATGAGCAATTTAATCAGGCTGTCCAAGCAGATGATCATATATTCTGCAAATGTATCAGGCAGATATCGTATTACCAGTAGTTCTGTTAGAGCCTGCTCCATACAGATGGCTTTGTATAAAGTTTTTGGCCGCTTGTTGTTGTCTGTTCGTTAAACTCTCATCTTTTAATCGCACTGCCTTGTAACTTTCTTGGAGCCTAATGATAAAGGAAAAGATAAGACATTGTATTATCCTTTGCCTCACTGGAGCAGAAGTACATTCAGAATGCTTCAACTTCCTGATTTTTTTCTTATGAACATGCTTTATCATCATGATTTCCTATGGATCAAGCACTTTTTCACAGCTCCTCGCAGCCAAAAAGCCATTCCAAGCATAAGCTTACCACTGTTGCACCATTTCAAATGCCTGGTTCACAGATGGTAGAACTCCACAAAGGCAGTTGTGGGACTGTCACAAAAACATGGAGATGTCCCTTGTATTAAAAAGAACTATGCAACATGTGATCCTCCAGATGTTGTTGAACTGCAGCTCCCATCAGCCACAGCCAATTATTAGAATTCACAGTTCTATTAGGATCACAAATTGCGTGCCCTGGTGGAAACTGATGACTCCAACATGGATGAGTGCTGTTTGCTTCAAATAGTTTCTGATCTATGGCAGGCCTGTATAACTTGCGGCCCTCCAGGTGTTTGGCTCCCAAAACAGAATTCCTGACCATTGGACAAGCTGGGTAGGGCTTCATTCGGGGAGTTGGAGGCCAAAACAGCTGGAGGGATGCCGGTTGTGCAGGCCTGACCTATGGTGAACCTCCTATCAGAGGGGTTTCTTGACCAGATTTGTTTAAAAGAGAATTGCCATTGCTTTTTTCTAAGGTTGGGAGAGTGTGACTTGCAGAAGATCGCCCAGTGAGTTTCATGGCTGAGCATGGATTCAAATCCTAGTCTCCAGAATCATAACTCAATGTTCAAACCACTACATTAAGCTGGTTTTGATCACAAATGGACAAGATTGCGGCTCAATTTCAAGCCTACTCCATCACATAAATTACTAGGTTCAAAATGGTGAACGCTGCTACCACATCTTCCATTTGCCTCATTGTTATACTTCTGAATTACTGTTCTAGATTTCAATCTGCAATGCATAATGAAGATTCTATGGTGCTTTCCATGGTTTTAGTTTATGTTAAGATTGTTTAGATTGTTGTAATGGGACAGGTACTACTAGACAAATCAAATATATTCAGAATGCATGAAGGTGGTTTCCTTACCAAAATGTGGCATATGAAGTAAGAATTGCTAAGCCGTACCTAGTTTGCAGTATTTCCTTTTCACTGTCTTCATTTGTGTCTTCTTTCTCATTTTCACTTTCAGAGTCATGTTCACTTTCAAACTTGTTTTCAGCAGTCTGATCTGTTTAACAATTTGATACTTTTTTACATTTTGCAGTTATTGTTGGGACATCATATAGGATTAAAATACATTTCAATTAACTGCAAGCTAAACGGTTACATAATCTTTTGAAAAATAAACACTGCTAAAAGCTGAGTTATGAACTGTAATTTAACAGAGTTTTATATGAAGTGCTAACCCTGGACTACACAAAGCTAATGATATAATGACTCTCTTATAATCAGTATATGATTTTATTAGCATTATGTCAGATCCAAACACAGAAAATATAACAACTGAAATATAACACAGAGAAGGATTTTTATATATACCTTGATGTGTTTTATCGGGCAGCTGCTCTTTACTAAAAAAAAAAAGGAAAAAAAACCCTATAAGACGCTATTTTTAAACCAATTAATAAGTAATTGTTGACGTATTTGGTAATGTTCGGAGAACACATGGGAAGTATAGCTAATTGCTGTGTTTGCACATCATGAATGTATTGAGGACACCAAGGAAGGTTTTGGAAGGTATTCTAGAGCTATACTGTTCATACATTTAATACATGAATACAGAGACAGTTCAAATTAAGAAATGGCTTCCTTGAACCTGGACAAAAAAATAGCATATACTCTGGAACATCATAAACAAAAAGCTGCTATGCAAGAGGAAAACAAACTTAAAAGGCTTCATCGAGCAAGTCACAATTTCTCTGACCAAAGGCACAATACAATGTATTTAAATTAACACTGGAAAGTCTGTTTTTGTTTACCTTTTCTGTGCGGATGATGCCAACTCTTCTAATACACTGGCAGGAAGCAGCTTTCTTTTCTGAAATGAATGAATGATGATTACTATAATAACAATGTAATGTCATTCTCTTAAAGCAGCTAACATATTTAAAACAGTACAAGTCAAAACTATGCAAAATGTTCTATAAAATGTAAATCTAAACTTGTTTTTAAAGACTGAACAATTTATAAAGGTAGAAACCATAAGTAAAGACTATTGTAAGTAAAAACTATTTCCAGGTGATAACACTAATGGTGCAGCTAATCTTCATCTTAGTGTTCTTTACTGATAAAATACGTTTAGAAGTTGATAGTTTGTTTTTCTTTCTTTTGAGATTTGAGAGAACCAAAACAACAGAAATGACATGGAGATACGTTTGAGTGTGACAAAGAATGCTGTTTTTCACATTAGTACATATCAAGGGCATCACAAATAGATATAACAAAATGTTAATGTACAACACTTCAGTGCACTGATTCTTGAATCCACCTGCTCCCCAAATACTGCCCTACTGGCCTTGTGGGCTGATCACTGGTCCAAAGCAGCTGAAGGATGAGAGTTTCCCCACTCCATTTCCCTGCTCGAGTGACACCCCCCAAGACAAAGAGGAGACAGAGCTTTATTACCTTTTGTTCCTTAAACAATTCTTCTCTTTGTCTTCTCTTTTCTTTTATGATAGCCTTTTCTCTGGGTGGAAAAATGAAGAAAAATCCACATGAATTTGCTTTGTGGTATGAAGTGCTGTCTACATACAGGCTTTAAGACAGTAGCACCATGAAGTTTCTTTATTACTTGATGGCAGGTCTGCATTTCAAATATGGGCATAGCTAGGGCTTACTTTTAAGAAATCATCTGTTACAGTTACCTTTATCCAATACCTCCAGTAAGTAATTTGTTAGTATCATATATTTGTAAATTTTTTGGAAAAGTCTTATATCCCCAGTTTTCAAAAGTGGTTAGAATTGTAATTTCTTGATTGCTTCTTTAAAAATGAAAGCTACAACACATATAGTCCCACCCTAACTGTCAGTCTGCAAAATGCAGCATTTGAACCTACTATTTCCCCTACATCATTTAGGGACAACCTAGGACTAAACTTATAAAACTAATTACAAAACTTTTAATAAAATAAACATCAAAAACTCCATTGCCATCGTTAGCAGGTAGGACTCATGTTTCAGCAATAAATACATTTCAGCAGAGAGAGCCCACATGCCCCAGTTGTTTGTGCGTTGGATATGACTTCAGAAATGAGGGTCTGAATCACCACTCAGCCCTGGAAATCCATTGTGACCTTGGGTGAATTACTCTCTCAGCCTCTGAGAAGGACAAAGAAGGATCTCTTCTGAAAAAATCTTGCCAAGCAAACCTTGAGAGAGGTTCACCTGAGGTTAGCCTTAAAGCAGGAGACAACTTGAAGGCACACAATGACAATTATGGCTTCAGTGTTTTCCGACCAATAAAAAGCCATATTGTTTGAGAAACAAAGCTAATCCTTTTGAATCATCTCAAAGTATGCAGGGACAGGCACTATTTGTGGAGTTTGTTTCCAAAAGATACCAAATCCCCCAAATTGAAAGCTATTAATACTACAGAGCACAATTTTTGTCCCAGGGTTATAAATGCCCCTTCCTAATTTTATCATTAAAGCATCCGCAATGTTTATTAAACAGCAAAAATGCTGTTTTTGCCATTTGCACACCGAAAGGTTAAAAATGGCATATTTTCATTAAGGAAAATTACAAGACTGAAGGAAAAAATAGTACTACCCTCAGCCACAAAAATGACGTTTCTGGAGTATAATAACTACTTTCAAAGTAAACACCGCACAGTTAAACAAGAAACGCAATCAAACAAGGACAGATTTTTTTTCAAATGTAGTTACATAGTGTAACATTTACACAATGTTGGCTAGGAGCAAAATACTTATGGACAGATCAAAACTATAAATGTGTATCAAATCATCTCAGTACAAAGCATGTGCCTCTCGGCATGCCCCCCCCCCCCAAATTTGTGATATTTCTATCCTGCCTTTCTCAAAGCTGAAGGTGACTCAAGGCAGCTTACAACCAGGCAGCAATTGTAAAAGTGGTTCAGGTGGAGTTGGTATCTTTTGGGGAAAAGCTCCAGCATTTGGGGAATTGTTTAGGGAAGGAACGTACCACAGTATTTCTCAAACTGCTCCTCCAGGTGTTTTGGACTTTAGCTCCTAGAAATCCCAGCCACTTTACCAGCTGTTAAGGAACTGGGGGAAGCTGAAGTCCAAAACATCCAGAGACGAGTTTGAGAAACACTGACCTATGAGGATGACAAAAGAAAAGAAAGAAACAGAACACAGTGCATTTAAAAACAAATACTAAACAGGACCTGATTGAATCCTTGATAGAAGGTGACTTGGCCACACTTGGCCCAGTTTTCCTCTATGAAACCTGGCCTGCATCAATAGGAGTATAGTGTCTAGATCCAGGGAAGTAATGCTACTCCTCTATTCCGCCTTGGTTAGACCACATTTTGTGGTCTAGACCACATATTGTGTCCAATTCTGGGCACCACAATTACGGGATTGACTAGCTGGAATGTGTCCAGAGGAGGGTGGCTAAAATGATAAAGGGTCTGAAGAACAAGCCCTATGAGGAGCGGCTGAAAGAGCTGGGCATGTTTAGTCCGAAGAAGAGAAAGCTGAGAGGAGACATGATAGCCATGTATAAATATGTGAGATTAAGTCATAGGGAGGAGGAAGCATGCTTGTTTTCTACTGCCCTGGAGACTAGGATGCGGAGCAATGGCTTCAAACTACAAGATAGGAAATTCCATCTGAACACTAGGAAGAACTTCCTGTGAGAACCATTCAGCAGTGGAACTCTCTGCACCGGAGTGTGGTGGAGGCTCCTTCTTTGGAGGCTTTTAAACAGAGGCTGGATGGCCATCTGTTGGGGGTGCTTTGAATGAGATTTTCCTGCTTCTTGGCAGGGGGTTGGACTGGATGGCCCTCAAGGTCTCTTCCAACTCTATGATTCTATGAGGCTCATGGTTTGCAAAAGGCGCCCCTTTGGCTGCAGGCCTTTGCCAAAAGTAAGTGTGCGCTTGGCGAAGGTCTATGGCAAGTCCGGGCAAACTTCGGCCCTCCAGGTGTTTTGGACTTAGACTCCCACAATGCCTCACCTGCGATGGCGCTCTGCCGCCGCGCGTCGCTCTTCCTCGGCCGCTTCCCGCGCGCTCACGAAGGCCACCTCCTCGGGCGCCTCCTCGCTGCTGTCCTCTTCCTCCTCCGAGGACGACCCCGTCGCCCGGGAAACGGCCTTGGCCTCAGCCTCCTCTTCCACAACTTTCCTGGCCGACGCACGAGTCCTCCGCGCCGCCATCTTTCTCAACCCGCTTCCGGCTGACCCGGAAACAGAGCRCCCCCCCCCCCCGTCAAGGGGTGTGAAAGGCTTCCGCTCCCAGAAACCCTGCACAGTGGCCGAGGCAGCTGAGGCTCCTGGGAGTTGAAGTCCCAAAGAAACACCGGAAGCCTCGCGAGAATTGAGGAAGCACATCTCGCAGCCGTGGAAGAGCAGCCCAGGTTTGACTGACTCGACTTCAGGTTTGAAAATTCTTTTGACAGGAGAATCCTATACTTTAGGGCAGGCTTGGGCAAACTTAAGCGGCTGAGGGGGCAAAGGAAAGGGCCTGAGGCTGTGAGGAATGGTGGGAGTTGGAGTCCAAAAGCCCTGGAGGGCCCAAGTTTGCCCAAGCCTGCCCTGGATGCAAGAGTATAGTTTTTCAGTGAACATCTGAGAGTCCACCAGTTTTGTGGCAGACACAAAATGACGTTGTTTTGGAGTACTCTCAAAAAGTAAGTGCCACACAATTAAGAAATAACACTTCCCCCCCTCAAATCTTTAATCATGTAACACTTTAATGCCTTTAACCACTTCACGCTAGAGAATGAATCCACTTAAAATCTGGTTTCTGTTGCGGTAAAGTCACAGCAGGACCAAGTGTGTGTGTTGGAAGAAAAACCTTATGGTGTTGATTATTATGTACAGTTGGTAATGTAGGTCAACCAGCAACCCAGTGGGGTATATCTGTATGGGTTTTTTAGAATACAGTTTGGGTGAGGGTGGTGGAGAGCTTTTTCTCTGAGAAGATAGTGCAAAAGCTGGGTTGGAGCTAAACATACCCCCCCCCCCAAAGATTATGGCAACTAGAATGACTGACAACTGGGAAATAGAAGGAGAAAACGTGGAGGCCGTGACAGACTTTGTATTTCTAGGTGCAAAGATTATTGCAGACTGCAGCCAGGAATCAGGAGATGTTTACTTCTTGGGAGGAGAGCAATGACCAATCTTGATAAAATAGTGAAGAGTAGAAACATCACACCGGCAACTAAGATCCACATAGTTAAAGCAATGGTATTCCCCATAGTCACCTTCTATAGGGAAGGCTGAGCGAAGGATGATAGATGCTTTTGAACTGTGGTGTTGGAGGAAAGTTCTGAGAGTGCCTTGGACTGTGAGATCCAACCAGCCCATACTACAGGAAACAAAGCCCGACTGCTCATTGGAGGGAAGGATAGTAGAGGCAAAGATGAAGTACTTTGGCCACATCATGAGAAGACAGGAAAGCTTAGAGAAGACAATGATGCTGGGGAAAAAGGAAGAGGGGCTGGGCCTGGTCTCCATGTTATTAGTCCCTTCGGGGAGATGGTAGCGAGGTATAAAAATAAAATTATCATAAAAACATGGAAAATGTTTATTAAACTGCAAAACCTTGTTTTTGTGGGACATCCTGCAGCACATTTTGCAATGAACATCTGATAGTCTCAATCAGTTCAACATAGGTGAAAAAGGAACAACACTTTCAAAACTGAAACAGCTTTTGTTACATAGTGTAATATTCTCATAGTCAACTTGTTTTTGAGAATCTCAAAGCATTGGATTCATATTGTCAGAAATATTAATAATCAAGTATGGATTTTTAATTACAAAAGTACGATTCAAGCACTGACTCGGCAAAAGCCGTCGTTCTATATAAGCAGGTGTGCCTGTAGCTTAGTAGGCCGCTTTGTTAGTTTGCCTCAAGTGGGAGAAAGGTCTCAGTCTGTGAAAAAAGGCCTCGTGCGTGAAGCTCCAATGTGAAGGTTGAACTTTGTGCCATGGACGGCAACTTTTTGTAAATAGTGCATCCATATTATTTTGCTATAAAGAAAAGCCTCCTATGGAAGAGAGAACATTGGTCTGCATGTTTTTGTTCTTTTTATCACTTTGGGCTACTGGTGTTGGGTCACACTGCTGATAAGAAGTTAAGAGCCTAGGTGTCATTTTGGATTCGCAGCTGACGATGGAGGCTCAGGTCGCTGCTGCCAGCAAACAGGCCTTTTTCCATCTACGACAAGCGAGGCAACTGGCACCTTACCTGTCGGATGAGGCTCTGGCAACAGTCATCCATGCCACGGTCACATCTAGGCTAGACTATTGTAACTCCTTGTATGTTGGCCTTCCTATTTCTACTACCCGAAAGCTCCGTATTGTCCAGAATGCTGCAGCCAGATTACTCACTTTATATGGCCAGGGTCCATTGTATCTTAGAGACCGTCTCTCCTTCTACCATCATCGGAGGTCGCCACGACCATCCCAACGCGATTTGCTCTATATGCCGGGTCTTAGGGAAGTGCACTTGGAAAGCACCAGACACAGGGCCTTCTCTATTTCTGCCCCTGCCTTGTGGAATTCCTTGCCTCCCTATTTGAGAGCCATGCGTGACTCAGGGCATTTTATCCTAGCACTTAAGACCTGGCTTTTTACTAGAGCATTTTACCCATGTTAATTTTAATATTTGTATGTATGTGTTTTATCCTGTATAATTTCTGCTATGTAAATCGCCTGGAGCATCTCGGATGGAGGGCGATTAATAAGTAATTAAAGATGATGATGATGAACTCTGCTGTGCATTTATGGAGTCTTTTGTTAAAGCCCACTTGCCCAACACAGATCATGGAATACAGTGCTTCAGTTATCACCTACAGTGATATCTGAAGCATTGTATAGTTACTTCAAAAAACTTATGGATTGGATCCTGACTGGTTAATCACTCAAAACCTTGTGGGAAATCCCCACAGAGGAAGAGGACAGGGAGACTGCCTTCACCAATTCCCCTTCCCTCCTGCCATTCCAGATGGAAATCAGAGGGAAATCAGTCTAAGAAAGCTTCCATCTCCCCTTCTTCTAGCATGAGGGAGATTCCAGAAAGCAAAATGATATTATTGCGGTACCCGCAGCAGCACTGGTTTACTAATGAGACCTATCAACAAAATCTTATGTTTCAGATACAAAAAGCCATTTTGGAACATTGAAAACAAGTTAATCTTATTTTAATGCTTTTTAAAATGACATTGGAGAATTAAAAGTATGTAATAAGTAAGCCCATATATTCAAGCAAGTTCAAAATTGGTTCTTGCTGTGTGTGGAGGGGGGGAGGGGGGGGGAGAATACTATGCAAGTAGATGTTCCAGTTATGGTTTCAATGGCTGTCTTGTATGATCAGAAACAGAGAGACAGTGTTGTGTACTGTAGCTGTTGTGGATTGTAGCTGTGGAGACCAGAGTTTGAATTTCTGCTCTACCATGGAAACCCACTAGGCCAAGTTTCACTCAGCTTCAGAGGGAGGCAAAGACAACCCCCTCTGAACAAATCCTGCCAAGAAAACCCTGTGATAGGTTTGCCTTAGGGTTGCCATAAGTCCAAAATGACTTGAAGGCACATAGCAATGATTTAAAATAAGTGCAGTTCCAGACTGAACCTTCTTGAAGTGTAAAACATCTCTTGAGAAAACCATTTTGTTTCATTGATTTTCTGCAAAGGTACTGACTTTATTTAATTGCTGTCTATTGGCCATTTGATAATTAAACCTTGCATTTTTTAAAGAATTTTACACCATATCAGTAAATCATTCTGTGAAGTGTACAGGTATGGTAACATCCCTCCATGTTTAGAATTGAATAAAGATATAACCTGATGCTTTGCAACACAAATATCCTCATGTAACTACATTTAGAGCTGTAAGCTTTCCTTTTGCATGAAAGTGTTTAGTCCGACAAAATGCTGCCCATGATCATTTGTTTCCTTTGCTCATTCTAGTAATGAATCTGAGAACTGTGATCTGTTTTGTTCAGTGAGATCCTCAGACCTCATTGCTGGGTAACAATCATGGTGTCTTCTACAAGTTCAAAGTTCTACTTTTGTTTGAACTCTGCTGAACTTGACAGTTCTGTTTCTCTTCAGTGTTTTTTTTTAGAAAGGCTCATGAGATGATCTCCGTTTCATGGCGAGAAAGTGCAGGGGGCAGCGTAGTACCGCAGGGACCTGAGAAATGGAACCTGAAATATCCAGTTATTCAGCAGTTAGGTAGTGCTTCATCAAATAATACATACACATATAATATATAAATGCACTATCTCAAAATCCTAAAACCAAATCTCAAAGCTATTGGGAGGAGGGTGGAAGAGAGACAGATGACATTTGGCCCAACACAATATAGTATATATTTAAAAGGCAACAAGTAAGAACATTTCCTCAAATTTAAAAATATGTTGGGATATTACCTGAATCGGTCTGTTGCAGGAGTGCTTTGCATGTTGAATTCTGCGACTGGCATTCCTCTGGCAGACACCTGAGGAGCAAACATTGCAGCGGGATATACGATAGAAGAAGTCCCAACCTGAGGAAAAAAAGAGGAAATACACTTCATCAAGGACACTTTCCCAGATACCACTTTCCCATCCTCTTAACCAGAATACTGTACCAACAACAACAATACTCTTTAACGAGTGTTTTGCAAGCAGGCTTTAAACAACTCGGAATACCATTTGCACTGATAAAGACACCCTGCATTTTGCTAAAGTTAATATAAAAAAGAAGAAAAAACCACGTGGGACAGAGGACAGGAAGGAACCCATGACCTCATGAAGCACATTTTGTTTGTTATTGTGTGCCTTCAAGTTATTTCCAACTTTAAAGTGACCCTATAATGGGGTTTTTACTGATTTTTAAATAAACAATGTCTACTTGCTGAAAAAAGATAACTGCATTCTATTTTTAGAAATCAACACTGATTTAATAGCTAACTTAAAGTAAGCTTTTACCAATCATATATTATTTGGGGGGGGGGGTTATAATGCAGTAATACAGTGCAATATAAATGTGATGACCACCTTGAAAATCCTTAAAATATATGAATAGGTTGTTAAAATCCTTTAGTAGTCTATCAGCACTTTTGTTTTTGTTATTTCCAACCTGGTAGCTGTGAGGTGTTTTGTTTTAATAAAATTAGTGCTATAGAAATATTTTAGTATTATTTCCCAAGAGCTGAATATAGTATAGCTTGGCATCTTTGTCTGAAAACATGCCATTTTACAAGGTTAGTATCCTGTAATACTAAACACAACAAAAAAAAATATTTTTTAAAAACCCACTTACCACCAAACAGAGGTCACAAATCTCAAGTTCCTTTTCTACTTCTGTTAGGATATCAGAATCTAAGGTTTCTCCAAACCACACAACATGGGGCCGTAGGAGGCCGCTGCATTCCTCACACCTGCAGAAGAATATGAATTATGATGGGAATACTTAGTAAATTTAGTAAATTTTGTTCAGTTTCTTTTGGAATTATACCAAGTTTACTAGTGGGCAACTGAAGCTGTTGCTTCTGAAATAATTCTACAGGGGAAAAACAATTTGATTCTTTATTTACCATACAATCAATTTAAAATACTTCAAAAATGTTATTCAATTCTGAAGGGGCAATTGTGCAAACAATAATAACAACTTCCCTAAGAGACTCTGGGCAGCTTACATATGAAAAAAGGTGTCTAAAAAACACACAGTACAACAAAAGGTATGATCCAACCTAAGAAAACCACTTTAGGTATTGCTGACACCACTTTACACTGGTTCAATGCTATAGAAACCTCAAAGTTGTAGTTTAATAAGGACCTGGTTATAAGTAAAGCCCTTCTAAAACTACAACTCCCAGGATTCCAGATGATAAAGCCATAGCAATTCAAGTGATGTGAAGCAGCATTCATTCCGCAATGTAGATGCACCCTTAGTTTGACAAAGAGATACGAGTTTAGAGAAAGCATTCCAGGCATAAAGATCTGCATACCTTTATGTACAGATACACATTTTAAAAAGCTTTAAAAAGCTCACAGCACTTTTATCACACATTATGTTGCAAAATAATGCAAAGGCATTTTAAATTTGTGCGGGTTTTAGCTGACTTGATTTTTTAAAGGCATACCATTTTCACTGTAATGATTTAGTTATGTTCTTTTTATTGTACTGAAAATTTGATTTTGTGTATACTCCCCTGAAATCCTGATTTGAACAAAAGCATGGCTAAATACACTAAAAGTGCTTGGATGGCAATTCATCAAACAAACAGCTCTGGTCTGGTATGTGGCAAAAAAGTTCTATAATCCATGATACATCTGTCATAATAGCTCAACACCCACCGAGGGAGCTCTTCCACTGGAATCCGGGTATCTTCCGCATCTGGTTCTGGAGCACTGGAAGGGAAGGCAGGAGGAAAATAAAATGGAAATAAACAAGTCACAGCATTTGTTAAATCCAGACACACATTCTTCCTGCTATCAAGGACATTTGTAAGAATATTGATTCCAATTACACTATGTAACACAATTTTTGTTCCTGAGTTATATGTGATTTCCTAATTGGTTCTATCATAAAGACATAGGAAAAGTTTATTAAACTGCAAAACCTTTGTTTTTGTGGGACATCCTGCAGCACATTTTGCTATAGTTTTTCACTGAATATTTCATTGAGTCTCAACCAATTCAGGAACATAAATGATTCCAATTTTTGTTACAATGTTCCATGATCAATAGTACACAGATCATTTTGTGCTGATATTAGCTTGAGGGAAGCAAGAACAATTCTCTTAACAGCATAGTGACTAATCTTTGAAAACATTTGTCAGAAATCAGTGTAATAAAAATTGTCTTTCCTTGCCATTTCATTTTTAAAATGTCCCAATTGCTCTATCAGACAGCTTTTCAGTTTCTTATGAAATGGAAAGAAGGTTAAAAAGAAATGTGGAATATAAACTGATTTATAAAAATGCCTCAAGGGCTGTTTTGATAAATACATAGTTTTGAAACTGCTTAGGAAAATCCCAAAAACTGTGAAGCAGCACCCCACAATTATGGAGGATGTTTTTGGAGAGTATTTTAATTTCTTTTCCCTGTGACTGAATTAGAAGACCTTTCTATTCACACATATGTGGTCTGTATGTCATTATGACCGAATCCCATCCTTATCATGTCAACCGAGCTTTCCTTATGAGAGATGTCCCTAGTAGAAGCTGACGTTTACATCACTCCCCACCAATGTCATCTGTAGATATCACAACATAAACAAATTACCCCTTTCCAGCCAAAGCAGGACATATTGGACTCTTATGATTTGCAGTTACATTTCCACAGCTGGTACATCGCGTTTTGAATAAGCTCCCTGTGAAGGTAAAGACAAAATAAAACAAATCCAAGTTACATCTTTACCCCTTGCCTTCCCTTGATGATACGAAACTGCTTACAAAGAGGAACTGAAAATTACAGTCAGCAATTCTAGCAAAGAACAAAATATTATTTGGCTTAAAAGCGAAATTGTTTATCTGCAAGAGAATATTAAAATGTTGAATTTGCCAAGACAGAAAGCTCAATTTAAAAGAAATCATTGAGATATTACGAACAGCCAAAATATTGTTGGTAACCATAACAAAAATTGAATCAGTGGGATCTACATAAGAGCTAATTCATCATTCAGCAAGAACAACTTGAGAAACTGCAAGTCATTTTTGATGTGCAAGAATTGGCCATCTGCAAGGATGTTGCCCAGGAGACACCTGGATGTTTTGCCATCCTGTGGGAGGCTTCTTTCATGTCCCTGCATGAGAAGCTGGAGCTAACAAACTGGAGCTCACCCCGCTCTCTGGATTCGAATCGCTGACCTTTCAGTCCACAGTCCTGCTGGGACAAAGGTTTAACCCACTGTGCCACCGGGGGCTCCTTCGAGGCTACTAATACAATGCAGACCAATTTCTCCCATGTAACATACACAAAAATTTCATTAAATATGTACTTGCAAGCAGACTTTGTAAACTCACATTTCCAGAATTTTTTTAAAAAACCGACCTGGTATTTAAACTTGTAAAAATAAGTGAGCTCAATATATGATCAAGGTGTAAAGACCTTGTTTACACGTTGAAAATAAAGGTATTACCAATTCCAAATGGGAGCTCTTTGGACAATCCTCCAGCCCCCAGGGAAAGCTGAGAAAGGACAGCAAATGGCTTCAGTGAGAAAGGTTGTACTCAGTGCTTGAGATCTTGATTTGTTGCGCTTGCAGTTCTTACTCAAGGTTTTAATGTTTAACCTCCCCTTCAAGGTCCATCTATGCAGTACACAGGAAACCTATGGAGATCTCCCTATGTTTTATTTTTTAAAGAAGCTGAAACCATATATGATAAGAGCCAGGATACTGGAATATGACATTTTCAAAAATACTTTTTGCTATATGGAAAGAACAGGTGAAAAACTCTCTATGAATGCTCACCGTGAATTTCTAAGAGGTGCTTTGTCCCTGCTTTCCTGTGGAGCTCATCAATGTTCTGCGTTATGACCACAACGCTTCTGCCTTGCTTGCTCAGCCTGGCCTCACACTCCGCTATGGCAATGTGGGCAGGGTTTGGGTGTTTAGTCATCATCAACTCCCTCCGGTAATGATAGAACTCCCAAACCCGGGAAGGGTTTCTGGCAAAAGCCTCTGGGGTGGCCAATTCCTGCCAAGGGAAGACAGCAGTCACAAAGTGGCACGTGATTATGGAGCCCCATTTTCATCCCAACAACTATAAAAGGAAAACAGCTGGAGTTAATATGGTGCACTCTAATGGGACTTCAACTCCCAGAAATCCCAGCCAGCTTATCAGGAACTGTGGGAGCTGAAGTCCAAAACACCTGGAGGCCCAAAGATTGGTAACCACTGTAGGGTAACATCCAATGGAGAGATACCACAGAATCACTGGATGGCCTAGAGAATTCCTAGAGAGGGCATATTTTGTCAGATGTGGCTACATAAAACAAGTACTTGTCCCAAGGAGGTCATACTGTATTATATTTAGACTATACAAAGTAGCCTTAATATAAAATATCAAGTCTGATGGAAATGAATTAATGATGCTCAGCATTCATTACAAATGTGAAGTTGAAAACAACCTGGGGGGCGGTTTCATTTTGGGATTGTTGTATGCCCTTAGTTTTCCTCCTTATACTAACAGATATCATTAACCACGCCAACTAGCTAACATTTCCAGGTTTTACGATTGCAAACTAGGCTCCTGAACACATTTAATGTATTATCAAGTAACAATACTGAGCATTCTTGAAAGTGCAGAGCAGGAGGGTACGCACCTGAGCCTGCCATTTCCTCCAGTAGCCTCCAGCACCTCGGAAGGTCGGAACGCCACTCTCTGCGCTGACACCAGCCCCAGTAATAATGGCTATGTGTTTTGCTTTGGCAAATGCTTCTCGAAAATCTGCCATGTCTTTCAAAACAAAAGGAAGATAAGTCAATCTTGTCACATTGTGAAGTAGCACATATTCTAACACATAGAAAGCAACTTTCATTAAAAAGTGTAAAACTTGAGCTGAAGTTCCAAGCTAGTTATAAAAATGGCTGCATAGAAGGGCACAGAAGAAACTGATCTCTCTTATCTAAAAATGTGGTCAGAACGTTATATCTTACCATTTCCGTTATCTATTGGAACTACAAATACTGACTTGTTTTGCAAATGCTAAAACCTTGTTCCAGAACAATGTTTCAAAACAATGGAAGACCAGATTTTGGAAATCACTGTTCTGGAAATACTATAATACATGATTAATAGTGCCATTCATCCTATAACCCCATGTGCTAAAGAGAGTACCCTACAATTTTTACCTGTCAAGTCATTCAATTTTTTTAAAATGAAATAAAATATAATAATAATAATAATAATACCTTTATGTTTGTATCCCGCCACCATCTCCCTGAAGGGACTCGGGGCGGCTTACATGGGGACCAAGCCCAGTAAGACAGAAATTAAAATATAACACAGTAAAATTAAAATACAAAACATCATAAAAACATAACCATCAACAATCTAAATGTATAAAACATGTTCTAATATTTATAAGGCATTGGCCAATTAAAGGATCTTGGACAAGAGGACTAGAAAGCTCTTGCAATCAAAACCTCACCTGCTGAAAATTCTCGAGTATATACTAACCACGACAGAACGCATTAATAATAATAAATGATAATAATTCATTTATATCTCATCTCCATCTTAACCTAAGATTGAGGGTCCTTAAACCAAATCAAAACTAAGAACACTTATAAAGACTAAAGTAAGAAACATGAAAACCTTAAAATCATAAAAACTGCGCACTATTAAAAGTATTTGTAACTAATACCTTGTAGAATTAAAAAAAATCAATTTGCCATCTCATTTTTTATATGCTATCTAAATATGTTAAGGAAACACTGACCTTAGTTGTACCTACCAATTTGTTGTACATATTTATTCTAAAATTAGCCATAAGAAATATTGTGGGCAAAGGTTGTAACCATGCTGCGTAGTTCCCATCAGAATTATATTTACGAATCCTTTTACTGACTATGGGCCTGAGACAGCATAGTCATCAATGGTTTCTACTAATTTAGATAAGTGCATTTTCCTACATGTTGCATCGTGTCCTATTAATCTGAAAACTCCTTAAAGACTGTAGGCATACATTAACTACTCCAGCAACACACACAAAAGACAATATGGAAATAGCAGGAGAAGCTAACACATTTCACATCAAATTCTGAAACAAGAATGGAGCTATAAGAATACATGAGCAGAAAGGAATAAAAAGGGGGCTATTGTAAAGATTGATCTTCTGCTTTTTCTTTTGTCCCATTCCACCATACTGGTCATGCTCAATCTTTTTTTTTTTTTAATTTGGCTAGACTCTGAAATCAGAAACAAAAACCAGTTTGATTTAGAAGGAGCACACTTTCTTCCTCCTTCTTCCCCTGCCTACAAATGGATTTTGACACACACTTGTGACAAAATATTGTGCAATTCAATCCTTAAATAAGAAAAAGATTAGAAGTTGTCATCTTACAAAACTGATGCTTCATAAAATGGTATTATAAAAACATTTTTAAAAAGGAATAGATCAATAGGTCCCACGAATTGTAAAATCAGTGGTCTCCATCAATTGTGGCTTTAAAACTCAAGTGATTCAAAGGGAAGGTTTCAAATATTCACATGTCAATGTGAGTTCACTTCTGAAAAATGCAGTTTACAGACATCTTATCTCATAGAAGGACTACTGGAAGAATCTAATCTTACTTGAACTGGGCCGCGCCATTTCAAAGCAGCTCCTTTGTTTCTTAGAAGAAGCAGGTTTAAGACCACAGTATACTTGAGAAACCAACCGCCTCGTAGCAGACTGGAAAAGATTCATCAGGATCACCATACGGTACTAACTGTAGAAAAAAGTTAAATGGAAAACTGAATATATCTGCCTGACAAGTAAACAACAAAGCAGCTCCACTGACAGATTAGGTATTTTCACTTGGAAGGCGAGGGAATGAGCGGTTTCTTCTTTGGGCTGATTAAGTATTTCACACTGAGCTATTATGTTTGCTACTACGTACAGACAATCTCTATTTCAAAAGAAGCTTTAGATATTTACCACAATCCTAGCAACACAAAAATGAAATCTCAACGTCTTTTCCCACCCAGCATGAAAAACTTCAAAGTACTATAAGTGCTATTTCTCATCTTAATCTTCATGTTAGACTCTTTTGAGAGAAAGACACTGGCCTGATTCCTATTGTTAGTTCTTTATTTATCATGTCAGGGGCAAGTTAGGTCTGACTAAAGGAGACCCATGGAACCTCTGTATTTGCCTAGGTGTTCAGCACTATCCAAAAGGGGCTGGAAATCGCCTGCAGCCAAGAGAGTGGAATAGCAGAGGAAGGTCAGAAGTGCTCCGTCCATTATCTGCAACCAGCACAAAAATCAAGCAGGCTGAAAGGGGAGGGAGACCCAAATCCTGTGGCCCACTTAAAAATTAACCTCTCTAGCTGTCTTCCACCAGGCACCTAGATGCTAGTAAAAATATTAATGCAGGCTTATAAGTTTTGGGGACTATTTACAAGAAATAAGAAGTTATGAAATATTTAAGATCCCCCAGCACTGGAAACTTTAATTAATCTATTCTCACTGAAAGGGTATTCTGGACAGTATTTTTAAAAGTAGTGTATAACATTCGTTTTTGAACGTAAGCCTTTACAGGTAACTCCTATGAATTTTCAGGTGTGACAAATCTTCCTTTATCTTGTTACTATGTGCCTTCAAAGTCATTATCAATTTATGGAAAAATGATCTCGAGGTTTCCTTGGCAAGATTTGAGGGGGGTTGCATTTGCCTTTTTCTGAGGGTGAGAGTGTGAGTTGCCCAAGATCACCCAGTGGGTTTCCATGGCTGGGCTTACAATACAATCATGAATTTTAAATTTGCATCTTGCATTTTAATCTTTGTTCTGTGTATTTTACTATGCATTTTATAGAAATATGTCTTAATATGTGTATTTTATAGAATGTTTACCATGATTAACACAGTTTTTAGCTATGCTGTAACCTGCCTCGAGCCATGTATAAATATGTGAAAGGATGTTATAAGGAAGAGAAAGCAGGCTTGTTTTCTGCTGCCCTGGAAACTAGGACTTGGGATGTTCAACAGTAGGAGTCTCTGCCTTGGAGTGTGGTGGAAGCTCCTTCCTTGGAGGCTTTTAAACAGAGGCTGGATGGCCATCTGTCAGGGGTGCTCTGATCATGCTTTTCCTGCATGGCAGGGGGTTGGACTGGATGATCTATGTGATCTCTTCCAACTCTATTATTCTATGATTCTATGAAAACGAATACTGTCATTACTACTACTACTACTGTAGGGTATCTTTCAGAGGAAGGAATTGGCAAAAATACCTTCATATATTCCATGCTTAAGAAAACTGTGTGAATCGGTTTGCCCTAAGGTGGCAGATGACTTGAAGGCACACAAACAGAAATAAATCAATCAATCAACCACCATTGTCCTCGTCTATCCTTTCTTCCCTGCTACCCCATATGTCAGGTGCTCCATTCTGGAAAAAACATGTCTATTGTGTAAGGGGTTCTTTTATTAAGCAGTGCACTGAACACCAACTGACCATGAAAGGACATGGTGAATATTATTTGCTGAGCGATTTAATTGTATCTCCATAAGTTAAAATTGCCTTGATGCACATTTGTCTACACCAGTTGAACGTCTATGCTTATTATAAAACTTCAAAAGCGAGATGTAACATGCAAAGCAAAATACTTGGTAGTAATCTGATTGTTATTAATTGTTTTCAAGTCAACTTCAACTTATACTGACCCTTTGAACAAATCATGCACAAAAAGAGATTCACACATTTTGGGCAAAATCCAATTTTAGATGCAAACAATGAGATAGATGAACAGTAACTATGAATGACTGGACATTCATATGAATGACTGGAATTAAAATTAAGTTCAAACCCTCATTTTAAAAATTTAATTCACCAGGACTCTGGAGTTCTTATCTTAACAGATTTATCAGACACAGAGCTCTTTGAACAGCAGTAGGGCCAACTTTGTTTTGGGCCACGGATTAGATGGCCCCAAAAGACAGGAAGGGGATGTGTTTAAAGCTTGATCTGGAGATGTACAATACCTATTATTCCACTGCACTGAAGCAAAGCAAAACTGCTCACAGTCCCTGGGTGGAAGAACTGCTCAGAGAGCAAGTAGTATACACATTGATGTATATGGATTCATTTTCTATCCTCCTAGAAGAAAATAACAGCATCTGGAAGGAGATATATAAGAGGGGCCTAAGTATAGTGCTGATGCCAGATCTGGGAGATTTGGATAGGAAATTAGTCTTTGGGTTTGGTATTTTCAAGCCACAAATTGGGCAGGAAGGGATGCTACAAAGACAAGAGCTCTGTTACATTACACTGCTCCAGCACTATTGTCTCACTTTAACTGTCATGTCGAGTTCTGGGATTTGTAATTTAGTGAGATCCAAGAGTTTTCTAGCCGAGAAGTTTCAAAACTGCAAATTACAACATTCCATATCATGCTGCCATGGGCATTTAAAGCAAAATAAGATAGCTATAACAATATGGGGTGACAAAATGCTATACATTTTGGGGATAGAGGGCCCTATCTTACACCACATTATTTTAGTTATGTTCTTTCATTTTAACTGCCACGGCAACCTGGAATACAGGCAGTCCTCAAGTTACAAAAAAGGCACTATAGGTATATTTTTAACAGGTATATTTTTAAAGTGTAACTCCCAACCAAAAATATTTTTAACAGGTATATTTTTAAAGTGTAACTCCAACCAAAAATACATATATATTATATTTGGATAGCATAGGGAAGGGTTACCACTCCTGTGGTGTTTGTTTTGCTGTCTGTGATCCTGTTCAGAAGATTTCACTTCGCTTTCTGTCCCTGTAATCATTGGATTTTCATATTGTCTTTTATTTGTTCGGTTCCGGTGGTCCATATTAGTAATTGATTATACATTTTTCTTATTAATTTTGTATCTGTATTAATATTTTGTCCCAAAAAGTACATTTCATTTTGAAACCTATTTTATTATCTATATTGAAATTTGATTTGATTATATTGAAACCATGAAATTGATGGGTCTATTGATGTTAGCTCTTCTTGTGATTTCAGTGATGCCTCTTGTCTTTTAATCTTTAATAACTGGTTATACGTCAACCATTTCTCCCTGGGCAGTTCTCTTTTATGATAAGCTTCTGTCCCTGTGATCATTGGATTTTGAAAAAATTGGCTTGTTGTGGAAACACAAACTGGGGATAAAGCTTCAGTGGAGACCCTTTCCCCCCATGATAATAACTCCTTCCAGATCGAATTTCCCTTCTGGGGGGGGGGGGCAGATTTCTCTCCCTTCCCATTGTCTCAACCCCGTTCTTAACTAAAGTTGTTTGTAAGTTGGATGTTTATAACTCAGAGACTGCCTGCTTTCAGAATCAACTTCCAGGCCTCACTAAATTATGACCTACAGAAGCTTTCCATGCAGTTACAGTGGAATAATAGTGTAGTAACACTGTTGTGTCCCCCCAAAAAAGACAAAAAGGCCTCCTGAAGGAAGCAAATCAAGTAACTGCCACTTTTTCAGGCCCAAAAAACATAAATAAACATGGCATTGAAGGGTTTATTGCAGGCATGGGCAAACTTTGGCCTTCCAGGTGTTTTGGACTCCAACTCCCACAATTCCTAACAGCCGGTAGGCTGTTAGGAATTGTGGGAGTTGGAGTCCAAAACACCTGGAAGGCCAAAGTTTGCCCATGCCTGGGTTATTGAGTAATGGAGGGAAACCATTTCCTCTGGTGCAGCTACACTCTAAAATTAATGCAATCTGACATCACTTGAACGGCTAGGGCTCAATATTATGGCCTGTTGTGGCTTTGCCTCCGGCCTTCTCCGTCTTGTCAAACCACAGCTACCAAGAGTCTATAGCACTGAGCCATGGCAGGTAAAAGTGGTGCTGAACTGCCTTAACTCTACAGTGTAGTAGCTGCAACCTGGGGAAATAAAAAGACAAATAAAACAACAACATGAGGATAACTCTCGTCGTTCTTCCTAACTCCCGACCAAAGTGGCTGCCTCAACGTAGAGGAGATGGAGGGCGACTCACCTCGTCAGTCCTCCCGCCGAACTGCAGCCTCCAAGGCTAGGCGAAGGAAGGGAAGGGTAGAGAAAGGAAGGGGCGGACTTCATTGCAGGAACCGCCTCTGATAGGCTCAGGAGGCGGAAGTGGAAGAAGAGGCGGCGCTGCGTGGCGCGCGGCACGTCTCCTCTCCCCCCGCGGCCCCGCCCTCCCCGTTGCCTAGCAACCGCCTCCTCGCGGCCTACAATGGCCCAAACCCATTGATTCTGAGGGGATTATTATTTGGGAGAATGAAAGGCATGAGGGGCCTCTCATCATCACCCCCCCCCAAATCCATAATCCTCTGTTACAAAAATCTAAACCCCTTTTAGCCTGGAATATCTCAATGACAAGGGAACTGCTACTGAAGAGCAACTTTCAAGTCTGGCAGAGAAAGCTAAATCTATGTAACTGAATCTCTATCTATCTAAAAATCCTCACTACCTCTGAGGATGCTTGCCATAGATGCAGGCGAAACGTCAGGAGAAAAATTGCCTCCAGAACATGGCCAACAACCCACTATCTAAAAATGCTCTGTGCATAATGAGTACCTTAAAAACAAAAGAACCAATGAACGAAATCACACCAAATTTGGCAACAAAACGTCTCACAACACAAGGAGTGACCGTCACTCAAAAAATTATGATTTTGTCATTTGGGAGTTGTAGTTGCTGGGATTTATAGTTCACCTACAATCAAAGAGCATTCTGAACTCCATAAACAATGGAATTGAACCAAACTTGGCACACGACAAGAAAATACTGGAAGGGTTTGGTGGGCATTGACCTTGACTTTGGGAGTTGTAGTTCACCTACATCCAGAGAGCACTGTGGACTCAAACAATGATGGATCTGGACCAAACTTGGCACAAGCACTCGATACGCCCAAATATGAACACAGATGGCGTTTGGGGGAAATAGACCTCGACATTTGGGAGTTGTAGTCATTGGGATTAATACTTCACCTACAATCAAAGAGCATTGTGAACCCCACGAATGACAGAATTGGGGCAAACTTCCCACACAGAACCCTCATGACCAACGGAAAATACTTAAGGCCTCCCTTCATCAGGGCAAGCAAACGTAATCAAAGTCCTCCTGGCAAAGAGACATCCAGCCATAGAGATAGATAGATAGATAGATAGGGAGTTGTAGTTGTGATATTGAGATATATATGATTCACACATACACACACAGATATAGTATCATAGATTTGAAAGGGACCCCTGAAGAAGGACAATTATATGTTGCATGTTCCAGAGTAGGCAAACGAGACACTCTCCACATCAACACTGACAAAGCAGCAGCAAGAAATACTGTTTACCCACAAACATAAAGAAATCACATATATTAGAAACCAACACTTTCTCGTTACTTTATTTTTCAGATCAAAAGACTGGGCCACAGCAACGCATGGCAGGGGACGGCTAGTCTATTTATATTTAAATGCTATATATAAGTGACATCATAACTCAAAATCCGCTAGAGGAATTGCTGCCAAATTTGGCCACAAGTCACCTACTGACAATGAGGACGAGCACACAGGTCCCTGACTTCAAGCTGAGTCGCAGCAGGGAGTTCCGCAGTTCCTCAGAACCTGGACTTGATGAAGACAAAGTGACTGTGGCTCTACCAGCAGCCTTAACACAGAGATTTTCCTTTTCTAACCTAACTGAGCTCACCCTGTTTCATTGTAGCTAACCCCCCAATAAAAGTATCCTAGATTGTAACTTTTCCTCTCTAAAGTGAAACTTTGTGTCCCTTTACTGACTCAAAACCTTCTCTTGAATAAACCTTTCCTTTCCCGAGCTGCAGATCACTGCTGGCCTGCCCAGGATGCTCTTACAGACGAAATTGCAATCTTTTGAACCATGGATACAGAAACCCACTGGGCCACAGCGCTCTCTGGACCATCCTCCAAAAAATCGGGTGCCCTAACAAATTTCTGAACATCCTGCGGCTCCTCCATTATGACATGATGGCAACAGTCCTGGACAGCAATAGCTCCCAAAGTGACCCATTTAAGGTGGAATCAGGTGTCAAACAGGGATGTGTTATTGCCCCAACTTTATTCTCCATCTTCATCGCTAAGATACTTTATCTTGTTGACAGGAAGCTTCCCACTGGAATGGAAATCATCTATCGGACAGATGGCAAGCTATTTAATTTCAGCAGACTGAAAGCCAAAACTAAGGTTACAACAACATGTTATAGAACTCCAGTATGCTAATGACATCATCTGTGCACATTCAGAAGAAGGCCTACAAGCCACTCTAAACACCTTCACAGAAGCATATGAGAAGCTCGGCCTGTCATTGAACATCAAGAAAATCAAAGTGCTCTTCCAGCAGTCACCGGCCAATCCTTCTCCAATGCCAGAAATACAGCTTAATGGTGTAACATTAGAAAATGTTGACCATTTCTGCTACCTTGGCAGCCACCTCTCCACAAAAGTCAACATTGACACTGAAATACAACACCACCTGAGCTCTGCGAGTGCAGCATTTTTCCAAATGAAGCAGAGAGTGTTTGAGGACCGGGACATCCGTAGGGATACCAAGGTGCTTGTTTATAAAGCTATTGTCCTCCCAACCCTGCTATATGCCTGTGAAACGTGGACTGTCTACAGAGATCACATGCAACTCCTGGAATGACTCCTTCAGAGTTGTTTCTGAAAAATCCTGCAAATCTCTTGGGAAGACAGGTGGTCAAATGTCAGCGTACTGGAAGAAGCAAAGACCACCAGCATTGAAGCAATGGTCCTCCACCATCAACTCCGCTGGACCGGCCACATTGTCCAGATGCCTGACCACCATCTCCCAAAGCAGTTGCTCTACTCCAAACTCAAGAATGGGAGAAGGAATGTTGGTGGGCAGGAAAAGAGATTTAAAGATGGGCTCAAAGCCAACCTTAAAAACTCTGGCATAGACACTGAGAACTGGGAAGCCCTGGCCCTTGAGCACTCCAGCTGGAGGTCAGCTGTGACCAGCAGTGCTGCAGAATTTGAAGAGGCACGAATGGAGGGCGAAAGAGAGAAATGTGCCAAGAGGAAGGTGTGTCAAACCAACTCAGATTGGGACCACCTTCCACCCAGAAACCAATGCCCTCACTGCAGGAGAACATGCAGGTCAAGAATAGGGTTCCACAGTCACCTACGGACCCACCACCGGTACACCGATCTTGGTAGACAATCCTACTCGGACAACAAGGGATCGCCTAAGTAAGTAAGTAAGTATAGTATTGTGAACTTGTTTTGATCATGCCTTGGCCTCAAATATCATGTTATTTGCTTAGCTATGTTTGCAAATGTGCCTTCCCGAAATGGGTGTTTTTTAATCTGATATCACATGGTGCAGAAATTATATCTGCTAATTTACTCAGGGTTTGGGTTGGATCCGAACTTATTTAGATAGGTCTTGGCAAAGGGCGTGAAGGCATAGCAACTAACAAGTGCCAGCTTGCTTTTGTTTCCTTAGCTTTTGTGAAACAGCAGGAAATATTTTGCACCTTCACAGTGCTGGGAAATATCACATACATTAAATAGTAACCATATATCAATATCATTTGTTTCATTCTGGGTTGTGACTTCATCAACTAACTGCGTAACCAAGTTTCTTGATGAGAGAAAGATGTGGCAATTCTATTAAGAAAACTTGAAATATTGGAGATGTACTTACTTACGTGATCCCTAGTTGTCCAAATATGATGGCCCTCCAAGTGTTGTGTCTTGGTGGTGAGTCCAAATGTGACTGTGGAGCCCTATTCTTAATTCACATGTTCTCCCACAGTGAGGGCTGTTGTTTCCAGATGGAAGGTCGTCCCAGTCAGGGGTAGCTTGACGTGCCTTCCTCTTGCATGTTTCTTCCTTTTCCCCTCCATTCATGCCTTTTTTAATTCCACAGCACTGCTGGTCACAGCTGACCTCCAGTTAGAGTGCTCAAGGGCCAGGGGTTCCCAGTTCTTGGTGTCTATGCCAGTTTTGAAGGTTAGATTTAAGCCCACCTTTAAATATCTTTTCTTGTCCACCAACATTCTGTTTTCTGTTATTGAGTTGGGAATAGAGTAACTGCTTTGGGAGACGGAGATCGGGCATTTGGACAATGTGGCCAAACTAGTGGAGCTGATAGCATAGGAGCATTGCTTCACTGCTGGTGGTCTTCACATCTTCTAGCACACTGACATTTGTCCACCTGTCTTCGCAAGAGATTTGCAGGATCTTTCAGAGGCAACATTGATGGAATCATTCCAGGAGTTGAGTGTGACGTCTGTAGACAGTCCACGTTTTGCAGGCATATAACAGGGTTGGGAGGACAATAGCTTTATAAACAAGTACTTTGGTATCCCTACAGATGTCCCGATCCTCAAACACTCTCTGCTTCATTTGGGAAAATGCTGCACTCACAGAACTCAGGCAGTGTTGTATTTCAGTGTCAATGTCGACTTCTCAATAAGGTTGGGACAATAACACACCCATTTGATACCTGATTCCATCTTAAATGGGTCGCTTTGGGAGCCATTGGTGTCCAAGACTGTTGCCATCATGTCATTGTGGAGGAGCTGCAGGATGTTCACAAATTGTAGACTTGCATATTAGGGCAAGGACTTTATCCAAGCTTTAGAAATTCCTAATTTATCTGTCATGTTCATTCTCCAAGGATCTTCCGCTACACTGTAACAGCTACAGAGTAAAGTTCAAGGACTTGAGAACATAGTAGCTAATGGGTTTTTACTCCTGTTTACAGCTCTTTCTTTGTGGGATTAACAGTATTTTCTTCTCAAATAATTGCATTTTACTATTTTAATTACCTTGTTTGTATTTAATTGTGCTTTAACTCCAGATAAACACATGCACAAACTGTATTTATGTTGTTAGTTACTTTGAACTTATAAATATAGGCCATCAATGTATCTGATGCAAGGCCCCATATTTGCAAATAGTTTAATGAAAATGGAGGTTTCACAAGAACCATAAAATCATAGAGTTGGAAAATCCCTCATGGTCTATCCAGTCCAACCTCCTGCCAAGAAGAACAAAAATCGCGTTCCAAGCACCCCCGACAGATGGCCATCCAGCCTCTGTTGAAAAGCCTCCAAAGAAGGAGCCTCCACCACACTCTGGGGCAGAGATTTCTACTACTGAATAGCCATTACAGTTAGGAAGTTCTTCCTAATATTCAGACGGAATCTCCTTTTCTGTAGTTTGAAGCCATTGTTCTGCGTCCTGGTCCTAGTTTGATAACTGTAAGGAGGCAGCATTATGATTTGATAAGCATGGCTTCAGAAACAAGATTACTTTTTAAGTGTGGCATAAGAGCTTTCCACTTTGTTTCACACCAGTAAACTGGCAATTTTCAATCTAGAAAATAAACCAAAAAGCATAAATTGGAATCTCTGAGTTAAAACAATGGGACACACTTCTCAAATTAAGTCTATACCTTTTGTTAACATATTTTAAAAATAAATATATATTCTTCTTACACATTTCTGACAATTTAATGTAATCTCTGCCCAGAGCATGTGTTTAGAAAGGTTTGCATTAATGCATCTGTACAGATTATTGATCATCAGGACACACTATTTACATATTTTGCTCAAAAGTTGTAGCTAAAAGACCAATTTCATAAGACTCTTCTCTCTAAACAGTTTTTTTTGTAAGTTACCTGCTCCTCTTGAAAATGTATTATTTTGAATACAAAAAAAGGACAGGAAAAGCTTAACAAAATATTCTTAAACACATTTGTAACCCAGGGGGAAACAAAAGGCAATAAAGGGGAAGGGAAAACAGCTAAAAATAATGTTTCATAACTAAATCACTCAAACCATTTCTGTCTGCAGACATTTTAAGGACTTCTTCAGCCAAGAACTTAAATGAAACATCCAAGTACATACATTTAGGCATAAAATATATTTTAATGAGTGTACAATTGCTTATATCCTGTACACTCATATATTTAGAGCAAACACCTGCAGATATGTATTTTCTTGAAAATCATTCATTAGATATTAACATATCTTATATGTTAATGAGTAGATGCTTGAATAAAGTGGGGCATGATATATCTGAAGGTACTGAGATGCCTGAAAATCTGTTATTTTTCATAGGAAGAGGATTCGCTTTGTTAAGACCAAATGGTTTTAATTTTTAAATCCACATTGTGTCCCTTTTTGGCACAACCTTATCTTTGGCAGTGTTTACCTTCTTAAATGACCACTGTTTGCTTTAAGAATAAGAATGTACAGGTTATATGAAATGTATGTAAAAGGCAAAAGATTTATACGATCTGAAGAGAAATCAGAGAAATGTATGTGTTGCCTGTTGATGCCATCGATTTCACAGGGTTTTCTTAGATAAGAAATACTCCAAAGTTGTTTTGCTGGTTCCATCCTCTGAAATATAGCTACAGCACCTAGCATTTATTGGCAGTCTTCCCTTCCACATACAAACCAGGGTCAACACTGCTTAGCCTTTACACCAGACTGGATCTGGTACCTACTAAAATGACTTTACATTTTATTAAGTTATTAATAATTAAGATAATTAACAAGTTATCTTCTATATTCTTTATTAGTTCACAAAAGAGACATGTAATTTTTCTACTGTTATGAATCATAATGTAAATATCTGATGTGCAGGATGTATTTTCATTCACTGGCACAAATACCCGATACGCCCAAATTTGAATACTGGTGGGGCTGGGGGGAGGTTGATTTTGTCATTTGGGAGTTGTAGTTGCTGGGATTTATGGTTCACCTACAATCAAAGAGCCTTCTAAACTCCATCAGTGATGGAATTGAACCAAACTTGGCACACAGAACTCCCATGAACAATAGAAAATACTGGAAGGGTTTGGTGGGCATTGACCTTGAGTTTTGGAGTTATAGTTCATCTACATACAGAAGGCATTGCAGACTCAAACAATGATGGATCCAGACCAAACTTGGCATGAATACTCAATATGCCCAAAAAGAGCACTTTGAATCTCACCAACGATAGAATTGAGCCAAACTTCTCACACAGAACCCCTATGACCAACAGAAAATTCCGTGTTTCCTGATGGTCTTTGGTGATCCCTCTGACACCCCTTCATGACCTCCTTAGGGGTCCCGACCCACATACTGAGAAACACTGTTCTAAAGTCTTCATAGAACTTTTTAAATCAATAAATATTGAGAACTGTTGCTATGAATACTAAACTGAAATGATTGAGCATGCACAGGTTCAGCATCCTTTATCTGGAACTCCAACATCCAAAATACTCCATAATTGACCCCGTGGGTGGCTGGGATAATGGCACCTTTGCTTTCAGATGGACCAGTGTACACAAACTTTGTTTCATGCACAAAATATAAAAGTGCATACAATTATGTTCAGGCTATGAATATATAATACATAAATGAATGTTGTGTTCAGAGTTGGGTATTCTGAAATCAAAAACATTTCAGGCTCCAAGCGTTTTGGAGAAGGGATATTCAACCTGTATTTAAAAAAAATGTTATGCATTAATGTGAAAGATGAAAAAAAGTGGTGTTGGGTACTAACTAACAGATTTAGCTCACTAATAGCTGCATTTAACATAAATCTAGTGTTTAAGTGTATTATGACACACACGCACCTAATGTTTTATTTGAGTTAAAAATTATAGTCTTCACAATATAGCAATGTGTTAAATCCAGAGTGGTCTTTAGTGAATGGAATGGTGATTTTTTCCTAATTCCTTCTGGCTCTGAAAGCTTAATGTACACATTCCCATACTGTTTTGGTGGGTTACCAGATCTTGTGGGACAGCATTTCAGTGGCACACGGATCCATATGGTAGGAAGGAATTGATAAAATGGTTATACAGCCTCCTCTCCAGCACCATAAGACATGATCCAACCCAACAGTCTTTGTGGACTCCTTTTCCACCCCCAACCCCAATGTATGAATGCACTTCAATATATAATTCAATTAACTCTAAAGCCACCTCAATCAGTGGCTGATACCAGATGAGAAACTCTCTCCTGGGCACAGAAAACTAGGTGACTTGGAAGGCTTTGAACAGGCTGCGCTCTGGCACCACGAGATGCAGAGCTAATCTTAAGCAGTGGGGTTACAAAGTGGAGTCCATGACATGCGAGTGTGGAGAAAAGCAAACCACAGACCACCTATTACAATGCAGTCTGAGCCCTGCCACATGCACAATGGGGGACCTTCTTACAACAACACCAGAGGCACTTCAAGTGGCCCGCTTCTGGTCAAAGAACATTTAGTATAATGCCAAGTTTTTAACTTTGTTTGTGTTTTAAAATACATTATAACTGTATCATCATTCGCTTCTGACATGGTAAATACTATAAAGTTCAATACGTTACAAATAGAATAGTAGGTAACAACTATACCTTGCAGTCAGTTACACAGGTAAATATATAAATGTTGTCAGAATAGGTACCCCAGATTCTTTTCTATTGGCTACGCTGACTGGGTTTGCTGGAAACTGCAGTCTAACAAGTCCCACCATTACTGTAGTGAAATACTGCGGCCTTCTGTTCTTCTTTTTAAAGTAGTGTAATGATGGGTATAGCTCCTTGACAGTACACAGTTGCCACAATATTCTTTCATTGGTTTAGGTCACTTAAGAACAAATTAGATTTTTTTGAAGAATACATTTAATTTTTACTACAATATGTAGCATTTTCTGTGAGCAAATAACGTTCTAGGATCAGAACAAAAGGCTGCTTTATAGCATAATATTTTGCATTTTACTATGGTTCATTTACACTTATTTGGGGAAAAGGGGTTTCTTTATAGTACTAAAATTCTGCATCATAGTTAGTAAAGTCACATTTATGCAAACCTGTAATATTTTAATAAAGTGGCCATTAAAGTACTGAAAGAAGTGTAGTATTCTGTTAGAATAATTACCACACACACATACATAGAGTACTTAACATGGATAAACTGATCCAGATTTTTTGGGGGGATGTCAATTTTTAAACTACATTTTTTACACAAATTATAAAGTACCTAGTTGCAAGTACCTACCATATGTATCTCATAAACTGTGGGGTGGAGGAAACAATTATTGTTTCACAGAGGACTTTGATGTGATCAGTCAATACACTTCACCTATTTTAATACTGAACCTTCCCTGCCGTAAATGCAGCTTATGCCAAGCTATGAATTGGTAACCAATTAAGCATGATATCTCATAAAAGTTTTATGTTACAGAGTATTAAGTCAAATAGGCACAAACATTTATAAAATAGTAAATCATCTGTATTCTAACACGCAAATATTCTGTACCAATTAAATACAGTGTAGCAGAAAAAGAATATAAATTACAGTTCTTTACAATAATTGTAAAATACTAGGAGTTAGCTTACTATACATATAAATCAGAGAAGAGCAGCAGCTTGCTTTAAGGTCCCATCATCTCATACTTTCTAAAAATAAAGAATACAGCAGGCCATTCACACCTTTCTGTTTTGTCATTTGCTATTTTCCAAACATCCTGCACAGTATCTATACATGGAATAGCTCCCCAAAAACAAAAAAGCATAATACAAATCCATGGTTAAAAGTGAAATCTACAGATCACATCACTTCAGACCACTTTATCAGAGCTTGGTCACTGCCAGTAACAAAACAATGCACCTTCATTGGGAGGAGGAGGTGCTACTGCTTTGTTTCCGGTCCCAGTTGCCAAAAGAGAAGCCATTTGTTGAAAATGTTGTCCATCCATCTCTTCCTCTGCGGTTAATACTGCTTCTGCATCAAGATTGCCTGACTGGCTTGGGTTGGCACATGAACCATGCCAGACGTACAAGCTGCCGGCATTGTTAATATTGTCCATAAATGTCAAGTCAGCACAGTAGCAGGCCCACAGGAAGACAATACAAAATAATAATAATGAAAGCTGTCTCTCTTCAGTGTGCTTATTAAACAGGATATAAGGCAGCATTGTGCCCGGTGTTAATCTCTAGAAAAATGGCACCACACTATCATTTAAAACAAACATATACAATAAAAACCGGGATATAAACAGCAAATATATCAGCCTAACTTAAGTTCTTTGGTAATTAACAGCATATGGTAGGTTTTCCCTCAGGTACATATGTACATCCCATTGACTTCCCACACTGTAAAATACATTATTTTAAGTCAGGTCTAATTTGTGGAGTACCTCACAGTTCTATTTACAAAGAATACACTCTTATACATAGTGACTCAGCCATAAATTCCACCAGGTTCAAAGGGGCTTACTCCCAGGTGAGTATAGAATTGCACCTTAACTGCAATTTAGTGTGCAGACATGTTTGCCTGTAGGCAGGCAAGTGATAACACAGTCCCTATATATATTATTATTATTTTAAAAGAACTAGGGAACTGTAGCCATAATTCAAACATTCAGTAACAATAGATTAAAACTATACAATTTATTTGAAAAAAAGTTTCCCACACAGTGATGTGTGCAGCAAGTGCAAAAACAAGAACAAAATGGCAGCTTCAGTTAATCCAAGATTTCCTGATCTCCTGTTTTCTAGAAAAAGCAGAAGCTGCAGCATCTCCAGAATGACAGAAGCTTTCTGTCCCAGCTTTGAAAGAGGATGGCGGTTGCAGGACTGAACTCTTCCACTTCTCCATGTCTGGTGATACCTGAGATTGTGAAGTGCTGCTGCGTGTCTTGGTTGGGGCTGGTGCTTTTGTGAGGCATTCGGGACGAACAAACACCCCGTGCTGCGGTTTGCAGCGGAAGTACTCTCTACCTTTGACAGTTCCATCGTGCTTCCCTTAAAGCAAAGACACAGAGTTAAATGGTCGTCTTGTTAGACTGAGGCTCAGTACATCGCAATAAGAATTATGCTGGAGATTTAGAAGCCACTGACCATCAGAGGAATTGTTTTGGAATTTTCAATAATATTTTTGAGAAATTTGCTGGGGAATATTGCTTTGATTGAGCTTATGCCCTTAATAATAATAATAATAACTTTATTTATATCCCAACTTATCACAACTTAAAAAAACACTTCAGAGTGCACAGAAGTAGTTTCTGGGATTCTAAATACAACTATAAATAGATGCAGATGTAAATACGAATGTAGCTTATTGCCATATAACTAAAGGAACAAGGGGGAAAACAGACTTCATTTGTCATTTCTGTTAATAAATATTCTCTGAATGTAGAGGCATGCTTGGAATAGATTGCATTTAATACCTGTATGTACTTTTTCTAAAACAGAGCACACCTGATTCCTAATAAAGCAGAGTGCACCTGCACTAGAAACAGAGATGATGAGTCAATGTCTAGACTACAATTTCCATCACTTATTAGTAATCACATTAGTTGAGGCTGGTGGATTGTGGAGTCCAATAGAACTGGAGGCAGGGGCATTTTAGCTGAACTTCAAGTATTATATTAAAGACACTGATTTGTTTACAAATGAAGAATTGTGAATGTTTTGTATGGCGTGATTTTAACTGAAGTTTTAATTTAATTGATGTTTTAATAATTCATATTTTAATTTATTGTCGAAGGCTTTCATGGCTGGAATCACTAGGTTCTTGTGGGTTTTTTCAGGCTATAGAGCCATGTTCTAGAGGCATTTCTCCTGACGTTTCGCCTGCATCTATGGCAAGCATCCTCAGAGGTAGTGAGGTCTGGCGAAACGTCAGGAGAAATGCCTCTAGAACATGGCTCTATAGCCCGAAAAAACCCACAAGAACATATTTTAATTGTTTGGTTTTAATTTTAATTGCTTTTTTCTCTTCACGTCAGGAGCGACTTGAGAAACTTCAAGTCGCTTCTGGTGTGAGAGAATTGGCCGTCTGCAAGGAAACTGCCCAGGGGATGCCCAGATATTTTGATGTTTTACCATCCTTGTGGGAGCCTTCTCTCATGTCCCCGCATGAGGAGCTGGAGCTGGTAGAAGGAGCTCATCCGCCTCTCCCCAGATTCGAACCTGTGACCTGTTGGTCTTCAGTCCTGCCAGCACAAGGGTTTAACCCACTGCGCCACGGGGGCTCCACTGTAAATGCTTATTTAACACTTGTATATATGGCATAAAATTGTTGCCTGTTGTAAGGCTGCCTTGAGTCCTCTCCAGGGTGAGAAAGGCAGGATATAAATATGGCAAATAAATAAATAAATCTCCTAGGTGTGAAACATCCATTTTTTATAGTAACCTGTCAATATCTAAGTCTAAAATTGAAATGACGTATTGTGAATTTAAAATTGCGGCATCGGAAAACTATTCCAAGTTTGAATTTTTCCACAACTGATTCAATTTCCACAACTGATTCAATTGAATAATGATTCCATTCATAGTAGCTAGAAATGATCGTGGGTTTTTTTTAAGTTAATGTTTTAAAAATACATTGTGTTCTAAAGACCCGAAGTCATAATCCCGAATATGAGGCAACCAGGAAAGGAGGGGTGGCAGAAGGTTTGTGAAGAGGGTTCCACTTAAGGTGGTTCACAATTAAAAATCAATTTTTTAAAAATGCTAACAGTATTGGAAAAGCAGGTTTTAGCAATGTTACAGAATGGTGGGAGACTTAGAAGCTTACTATGACTTGATCTTTTCACTCCCAATTTCAGGGTGGGTCAAAAGTCACAAAGGCATCTGATGTTTTAATAACTTTTTATACGTAATGTAATTATTTCCAATATATATTACATATGGCACTATGGTACTGTAAATTAAAAACAAAAAAGAAATGAATTATCAAATTAAGGATACTTAATATGTTCTGAAAATGGTAATATCTTACCCACTGGGAAATGTAGCTCAACGCCAACCCAGGTATTGGTTGAAAAATCCACGGGTCCAATGTATCTTACTATACCAATCTTATTACTACCAATGCACACATGTTCCCCCACTGCCAGCCAATCAAGGTGCTCTTCAGATGTAACATCTTCATCAGAGGCACCAGAAATCCTTTTTCTAGTGAAATCTTCTGCTATTAAAGAATCTGCATAGCTCTGGCAAAAGGAAGCTTCTTTTACTCTGACTGCCAATAAATGTTCCTCAGTACTGTTTGACAGCTGGTGTCCCACTGGTAGACATTCCCAATGGCTCACAGGGTTGTCCTGGTTGTGAGCATTTTTGGGAGATGCATTGTTCACTCCAACAGCTGACAGTTTTGTTCTTCTGCTAGAACTACCACTGGAAGTGAATGGTTGATGTACTGAATATTCAAGTTCCTTTCCATCATCAACGCCCATGAATTCCGTAAATGCATGATCTTCAAAAACAGTTGAAGTTCGCTCTATGGTTGTTTCTCGAGATGGAAATTCAATCCCTTGTGGTCTGTTTTTACTAGCCGACATCCCCAAAGATGAAGAATGTAACTTTGCAGCATCTGTATCAGCACTTTCAGATATTGGAATCTCTATTGCTAAGGCACCATTTCCTTTGACTGGTGACTTGGATCTTGTATGTTTAGCCAAGTCCTTTTCTGGCTCTGAAGTTTCCTTGTTTGAGGCTTTCAAGTCACAGGTGAGGTGGGCTACAGAGTGGTCACTCAAGTCCAGATCCCTTACCTGATTAGCTAATTGATCTGTGCTGTCACTACAAGGAACAAGCATATCAGATAAAGTCGCATTAGAGGCACTGTGGGAAAAGTAGCCGCTAGTAATACTGCTTGTGGTGGGGCTACGAGATACTTCTTTGTCAAGAACGCGAGAGTTTACAAAGTCTCCTTTCGAGGACAACCATTCCCTGTTTTCCAGGCTGGCATTGTAAACACTGAAGTCAGCAAACTCTTCGGGCACATAAGGTTTCTTGTTAAGGGCCTCCAATTCATCATCTTCTTCAGAGTCCTGCTAATATTGAAAAAAAATTAACTTACTATGGCTGCATTTTAAACAGAACACGACATTTTGTTAATGAAGAATAAACATAGTGATGAGATACTAAAAAGAACTGAAAATACTGTTCATACAACAGTTTTAATGTAAATATGCTGGTATGTCAAAATAACAGCATGCACACCCACTCCAGGAAAAAGATGGGTATAAATCCAATAAACAAACAAATAAAATCAGACCTATCCAGCTGATGGAAAAACTGTATTCACATCATTTTTATTTAAACATTTGCTTTGTTCACAATGTTCTAGTTTCTTTAACAAATATTTTAACTGTTCTAACATGCATTTTTGTCTCCTTTGCAAGAATGGATGCATATAGTCTGTTCCAAAAATTTGCATTCGCCACAAAATAAACATGTTTATCACAGAGATTTATACCAGATTAGATTATTTGATTATTTGTTTAGTTATTATGCAGTCAGCTTTGGTCATCAAGGATGATGAAAGAGTACCCTTCTGATTTTGCAAAAAATCAGAAGGGTACTTCTTTTCCATGTTTGGTGGTCATGTTTGATAGTATTACAATTTTGGAAAGGGATAATTGTGGAAACAAATAACATGCTCACCAACATGGTTAAGAAAAGTCCAGCCATGTGCCTACTAGGTCACATTAACCAGGAAGATAAAGAAATATGTCAGTATAGCTTTGTAGCAGAAAGAATGGTTATAGCAAAAACATGGAAGGGAAATAAAGAATTACTCATGAGAGATTGGAGAGAAAAAATTAATAGATTACATACAAACGGCCAAGTTAGCTAATGAACTTGGAAGCAAAAGTAATGAAGAATTTACAAACAAATGGCAGCTGGCGTTAACATATCCTGAAAAAATAGGCAAAAGCTGACTTTAATGATGCTGCAAGGTAACTATTTAGGGAACTTATAGGGGTAGGTATTATAAAGTATAGATATCATAGTGATCAGGGATGGAAGCCCATGGTGGTGGGGGCACAGGTGGGGGGATTGAGGGAATGTGTTGTCTACTGTGTATGTCACTGGTTTCATATGTTGCATGCTTTGTTTGTTTGTTAATGTAGATCACTGTTCTTCTTTTGTGTTTAAATAATAATAAAAATAAATGTAAAAAGGACATTGAAAGAGCCACTATTTTAGACATTTTTATCTGTACTTGTCTGCAGTCAGATCCTGTAAAGAACAAGGATGTGTATCATTTGTCCTTTATAAAAACATATTGTGTAGATGAATGGCTACTCCTTTTCAAAACTTCAAAGTCTCTCATTCCTGGGGTCACTATAAGCTGAAGTCAACTTTATGCCAGTTGATAACAACAAATTTAGTACATCAGAATGCAGAATATTTCTAGAAATCTTCACAAAATGTGCACAAAAATGTCCAGAAACACACTAAATGATATTATAATCAAAGCTGTTCCTGGAGGTTTCAGGTATACGCAGGAACAAACAGTTTAAAATGAATGCATCTCTGTTCTTTCACTAAAATTATACAAAAACACCTGGCACATGGGTTTTGCTTCATTGAAGAGTAAAGGGCTTGCTAGTACTCATTCTTTAGAACACCTGACTAATATGGCCTTTTGCTTTAATAAATTCATTTATAACTGTATTAAGCCAAAGTTTTCTTGTTCACATTCTGTTTCATACCACATTTTCTGAATTTAACAGAAGAAAGGACAGCGTAAGTATCAGCAGACAATTTAAGCTAATATTAGAGTCTAAAGATTATTCAGATATATTTTGATCTTCAGAAAGCACAAGGGTAGCCTTACACAAGTCTATTGTGCCATTAATTTTAAATAACTCCCATGACAATCAAAGAGTTATTGTTGTTTCTAAGCAATAAGACTTAAAATCATTATATTTATAGAAATTCTAGCCTCTGTGTTTTAGTCATCCATTCATTCTTTGACTAAGAAGTTAAGAATGTCAGCTGCTTCCCCAAAACAAACCACAAGAATCTCACTGCAAAGTGCTATTAAGAATAGCACTGTATTGCTCAAAAATACATGTTACTAACATACAGAATTAGCAAATAGAAAAATACTATTCATTATTAAAAGTGACTAGTTGGGCAAAAAATTCAAACAGTTCTTGGCTTGTAAGAGATTATAAATGTATGCTATGGTTTAGAGCAGAAGTAGGAAAATGGGTATGGAAAAGAAATTTTGTGATTTTTTCCACACTTTTAACATTTATTTTTTCTCTAAGACAAATTATATACTCATCTAAAAACAATTTAGATTACAAACAAAAAGGTTCTGGAAAACTAATGACGGGTAACTCTTCAGTTTTTGACCAATGGAAAAGATGGAGGGAAATGAAATTGGATGTTTGCTGGTTTTTATGATCCAACACAATACCACTCTTCCCCTCAAATTACATAAATGATTTGTCCATTATGTCACATGCATTGAAGCCAGCATGCAGTGAGGCACCCCATATGCACATGTTTACCCCCTCTAAAACTCAAAAGTTCATATCTGGGCCCTACACCACCACCAGGTATTATGATAGAAACAAGTGCAACGCTTACAATCTTCTTCTCATGTATGCTATTGGGTTCTACTGGCATGCTACTGGTATTATTTCCTGAGGGCAAGACACAACCAGTGCTATGTACCTGAGATGATGGCATGCTCTGCAAAGGTTAAGACATACAAGACACAAAGAAGATACTAACATCAAACCATGCAAGTTAGTAAAACAGGCGGCTCTCTTATTAAAACAACTGAGGCAAGGAAGGTGAACGGCCCACATTAACAAAAGGAACCCATCTTTCCTGCCTTAAAATACAATCTTTGTTTGTGAAAAATATGAGCTTTTGAAACGGGGCAGATATTTTATACACAGAGACACATTTAAGTAAAAACAAACTCCATGCAGAAAAGTTACAAAAAGAACAAAAAAAATGATATATGACACCATTCAAATAAAGACAAAGAACTTGGACAACTGAATTCAGGATTTTAAATTTTTCATGTCACAAAGGCAAGCTGCAAGGAAAAAGTCAGGAATGTGTTCAAATCCACAAAAAATTGCTTCATTACAATGACCTACCTCTTTGCTAAGCAGAGGCCGAGTTTCAAGAGAGGTCTTTTTGTTTTCTTCTTTTACTGGCATTAAGGGTTTGAAAAATTTGGGTGGCTGTGGAGAGAATGCTTTAAATGGGCTGACAGTTGATGCATGTGGATTCTCCGACACATAACCTTTGGAGAATAAAAACACACACAAACACATACGTATACACACGCGCACAAGGTTAGCTATTCTAACATTAGATTGCAAAAATAAACCATCAAATTTACAAGATGAAAAGAAGATAAGGCATAACAATTGGATCTTTTGTGGTCACTTTTGTTCTTATCACTGAAGATAAATTTGCTGTTGAACACAGAAATAGGATTTAAGATAGACATACAACAGGGAATCTATACATCATCAAAGTGTAAAAACTGATGGGACTGTGCATAACTCTGTGAGTCAATCCATTACATAAACTAGGAGCCCCCGGTGGCGCAGTGGGTTAAAGCACTGTGCCGGCAGGACTGAAGACCGACAGGTCGCAGGTTCAAATCTGGGGAGAGGCAGATGAGCTCCCTCTATCAGCTCCAGCTCTTCATATGGGGACATGAGAGAAGCCTCCCATAAGGATGATAAAAACATCAAATCGTCCAGGCGTCCCCTGGGCAATGTCCTTGCAGACGGCCAATTCTCTCACACCAGAAGCAACTTGCTCCTGACACGACAAAAATAAATAAATAAATAAATAAACTAGGTTGCTGTGAGTCTTCTGGGCTGTATGGCCATGTTCCTGAAGCATTCTCTCCTGATGTTTTAACCACATCTATGGCAGGCATCCTCAGAGGTTGTGAAGTCTGTTGAAAACTAGGCAAGTGGAGTTTATATATCTGTGGAATATCCAGGATGGAAGAAAGAACTCTTGTCTGTTTGAAGCAAGTGTGAATGTTGCAATTGGCCACCTTGATTAGCATTGAATGGCCTTGCAGCTTCAAAGCCTGGCTGCTTCCTGTCTGGAGGAATTATTTGTTGGAAGGTGTTAGCTGTCCCTGATTGTTTTATGTCAGGAACCCCCCCTCCTCTTTTTTTTAGTGATCCTTTTTATTTACTGTCCTGATTTTCTTTGTTGGGAGGTGTTAACTGGTCCTGATTGTTTCCCTCCTGGTTTTTGAGTGTTGCCCTTTATTTACTGTCTTGATTTTAGAGTTTTTCAAATATTAGAAGCAAGATTTTGTTCATGTTCATGGTTTCCTCCTTTCAAATTGCCCACATGCTTGTGGATTTCAATGCCTTCTCTGTATAGTCTGACATGGTGGTTATTAGAGTGGTCCAGCATATGGAACATGGCCATAAAGCCCGGAAAACTCACAGTCACACACATTACATAAACTGATTTTAGGTTCTGATGTATAGCTCAGGAAACTATTTGCAATGTTAAGATCCTCTCCAACCAGTATCACTACTGCCTTTACTAGCAGATTTTAAAAAAACCCCACTATAAATATGCACACTGAGTTCTTCATACATGTACAAATGCACCAAGAGTTTCAAGATAATAAATATAGGGGTACATTCTCTTTATACTACTGACTCTATTGTCACTATTTCAAAAATATTGATCCACTTAAAATAAAATCTTACCACCAGAATCTTTACTTCTTCGAGGTGATTCCCGGGGTAAAGTCCCATAACATGATACATCTTGATAACTTGAACATTCTAATACATCTAGATGACTTTCTGACCAGCCCTAAAGTCATAATTGAGAAAAAAGGGGGAACATATTACGGTAATATTTTCAAAGTTAATATTGTGAGATAACAATTGATTTTTTCTGTTTCTCAAACTGTGCTCCTCCAGGTGTTTTGGAGTTCAGCACCCACATCTCCTAACAGCTGATAAAGTGGCTGGGACTTCTGGGAGCTGAAGTCCAAAACAACACCAGGAGCAGACTTTGAGAAACACTGGTCTAGTGTATGGGTTCAATCACCTCTCCATGATTTTGGGTTGAAAGCTACCCAGTAGCTCTCTATTTGAAAGGACATGCTTCCCATGTCTAATAGAAGAATCACAATCTTTCTGCAAATCGTTTTAGAACTATCCCTTGTTATCTCAGTTTACCCATTTTCATTCTTTTCAGATAAGCATCACTCTTCTTCCTCTATTATTCTACCTCTTGTGAGTTTTTTTAAAACAAGCTTCCCTTTCTGAATCTTCTCTAATTCTATGATTCTGTCACATTTCGCTGTAGTATAAGCTTTCGATTCGTCTCCTCGCCACCAAGCCCAATATGCTGAGAAATAGATAACAATAGGATGCATTACTTATTTTGTTGTTAAATTCTAATTATGGCCTTCCCCACATATGAGAAGTCTCCGTCATCCTATCATCAAAAGTCCTGCTCAGATCCTTCAAAATAAGTACTTATACTCCTTAATGAAAAGTATGTGCAACATTCTGATATGACAGGAAATCTGTGATTTTGTGGCTGGAACTCAATGGACTGACCAGCTACATGCACATATTCATAAAACCTGTTTAATCAGTTATTTATGTGAACAAAATGTATTCATTCAGTGAAAACCAAACAGTATACTTCCACTGCCTACTATTTTCCAACAACATGGAGAAATTACTTGGAATCTTTTCAATTGATAAAATTCATATTGTAAGTATCCTGGCAAACCCATTCTACCCTCCTTTCTTCCAATAAAAAAAAAGATTGAAATTATTTCATGTAGAGTCTACTACAGCATTAAATATTTTATAAGGCTACAGTTGTTCCCAATTACTTTTCTGAATTTCCTTACCTTATGTTCATCAAAGCCAGAAAGATCTAATCGACTAGAAGAAACCTAAAATACAGCAATGGATAAGTATGAGCCAAACGAATCCAAGCAAAATCTAATCAATAATTTGGGCTGCACACGAGAACAACAGTAATAGAAACAGAGATTTGGAAGAGCCCACAAAGGCCATCAAGTGATGTATAATATAAGGAGAACCATGACAACGAAACACTCAGGATTGCAATATTCATTCAACCTTCATTTGTGAAAGCATGGAGCTTAATTACACCTGACAAATGTGTACTGAATATATCATTTATATTTCATTTATATTATTTCTTTATTTATTAAATAAAAATACATTACTCATCATCAACCGATATTCTGTATGTGGCTTAGAAAGCAATTTAAACTAACTAAACTGAAGAAAGAAAATCTCTTCCCAATTTTTAACTTAAAACTAATATTCTAGTTCATGTTTTTGTTGCTAATTGCCTCAAATGGCAAATGGGAATAATACTGACCTCACCACAGTACCCAAATACTTATTTTAAAAAACACTTGTCCAAATATTGGTCTACAAACATAGAAAATCATCTTACATTGTGAACATTTGGTGTGCTAATACTCCTCTGTATGTGTCGGGTCTTTGTAGAAAGAGCTTCTTTTATGGTAACGGCCTATTTTAAGATAGAAAACGTTAATAAACCCCCAACACACACATGTCAATTGGCAGTTGTAGGTAAATAATAGTGAAATTCCATTCATTCTTATTCACAAATATGCCTCACTGAGTTCAGCAAGGTATGTTTAGGGCAAAGACTAAAGTTCATTGCAGGATCCACATATTATATTTATTTATAAAGAGTACTCTCTTTAAAAATAATTACATAACTATGTTTTAGTCAATAGTGCAACACTGGTAGAACATAACAACAAAACTGTATACTAAAACCAAGTTCACATTATTTCGGTCTACGACATCTACTACAACAAGAACATCCCCTCAAGGAGAGAAGGTGGAATATAAATAAAGTTTATTTAATGATATCCCTGGCGGCCACAGTTTTACTACAGTTAAACTAAGCGAGTTGGAGCTTTCCTTTGACTCACCTGTCTTAATCGTTCAAGACTCAAAATATTTTCCAGCTGCAACACTCCACGTGTATACTTCTCAATATAAGTTTCTCCATCAGAGGCACCCTCATTTTCACTTTTAGCTGCCATTAGAGCCAGAGTCTCTCGATCCTCAATTTCTTCTGTGGCCTAAAAGAAATGTTTTCTGGATAAAACTGATATGCAGCTGCAACCCTACTCAGTTTCACCTTATACAAAGACCTCTTCGCGATGTCTCAAAGTAGTGGTTCGAGCAAGCAGTCTGCATGCTGGTCTCAACTATTGCACTTCTTGAAAGAAAAAAAATAAAAGTTACCTTTGGTATATTTGACACGATTTCATAGGCGACACCACAGGCATACCAGACATTTTTCATGGATATTCTTCTTTTGAGGCTCTGGGTGAAACTCTAGAGAAAATGCCATTTTGAAATAAATTATAAACAAAATGTCTAAGTTTGCATCTTACTAAATGTGCTGGGGGAAAAACCTATTTTGGAAACATATTTGTGTATTTACTCTTTAAATTGCAATTTGCACTATTTCAAAAGCAATTCCTAGTTGGAGATGACAGAGGGAGCTCAACCCATTCTCCCTGGATTTGAACCGCTGATCTGTCTGTCAGCAGTCCGGCCAGCACAAGGGTTTAATCCATTGTGCCACCGGTGCTCTCTGCTCAAAGTATAACACCTGTTGTCACAATGGTATTTACTATTGTACAAAAGCTATATGTCACAGATGAATGTGCAATATTGATGACATGGACACAATTACAGCCTTATTTTATTGTTTCTCACTTCTAACTATGATAAACAGAAGATAAAATACAAAATAGGATACATGAAGCTGAAAGAATACCCAAATTACATGACTAAGCCGATTACCTGTTTGTTGTAAATATTAGCAGCAATTCTTTTACGCAACATCAGTTCCATTGCAGCTGGATGGCTGAGCTGGACTGTAATTTTAACAATCAAGTAGATTCTCTCATTTTGAGGTGTTATCCTATTCAAGTGCACTGAATCATGCACAGAAGAGTCCCAGGCAGCAGTGGCGGAAACCTAAAACACAGTAACATCTGAAAAAAAGGAACCTGATCTACATTGCTCAAGCATAAATCTGAAATGTAGAAATGGCCAATCTCCAATTTCATGAACACCCTTCAAAATTATAAAAGCAGCACTGAAAATCCTGAAGCAATTTTTAATTGGGACTTGGTTACAGCCAACCCTATCTCTAAAAGTACAGAAGAAGTAAGCAGTAATACACAACTTTCTGAAGCACACTACTACATAAAAATGCATTTGAGGCAGTAGGAGAGTTCTTCTTCCAACATATGTAACATAGAGGTTGCTGCCCACATGCAAAACTTGTTACACCATTAATTTTAAACTGCCTGGAGGCCACCACAAGTTGCTTAGTTGTATATAAATATTTTATCCTTCTCCTATTTGTTTTGGATCAAATGGTTTATATCCAGACATAATCACACTTCCAGTAGATCCAGTTTATACAGGGAGAATTAAATTACCTATGACTAACAAACACAGAGGTATTCCTGAATACCTCTGAGCATATAAGCAACGGAATGAATAATTCCAATCAGATTTCAAAAAGTATAGACTTTTATACATGTAATAGATATTTGATTTTTAATTTGGGAAAATCTCTAAATCACATATGAATGAGACAAAAACAGCAGCCACTCTGTTACATAAAAACAAAACATTTGCACCTTATTTATTAAAGAAAAGAATAAACATCTGAATTCTGAAACAAGCGATCGAATACTAAAGGTATAGCCAGTCCTCCACATGTGTTTGTTTAACTTTTGAAGATGTTATTATTAGCCAGTTTGATTAATATAGTATTTCAGAACTACTTGAGAGTCAGCTTCTACTGGAAATTTATAATGGAGTTGTACTGGTAAACGCAGAAATCCTAGAAAGGTGTTATTTCAGGTGAAAAAAGTAGGTTTTCCATTTTCACAAGGGTCCTTCACCCCTAATTATAATGAATGTGGAAGGCTGGCTCTATTCAATATAAATTAAATACTTGTATGATAGGCAAACAGAAGCAATCAAATAACCATAAAAGCTGTCTAGAAGAACTTCTTTGTATTTTACCTCATCTTTACTGTGTTTTATGATTGGTAGATAAAAGAACTGACTCCCATGCTCCTTTGGTAGTATTGAATTAACACCTGATGCGTTTGGACCTGTAAGATGTTCATTGGCACTAAGGTCATCAGCTAAAAAAAGAAAATGAAGTTACACAAAAATAAGTTTGAGCATTAAGGAATTTTATGTGACATAGTGTTTGGCAAAAAAAATCCTCTTACAGCTAAAACAAATTCTGAAGAATTCAGAGTCTTGCATAATTATTTTGTGACCCTCAAGTTAGTTTAATAAACATATCATTTTAATATGGATTTTTGCTTTATGGAAGAATTACTGAGATGCTTAGAATATACTTTGGAATGCTTCTTTATTGCATTAAGAAAGAGCTTTATAATTCAAGTGATAAGCTTTGAGAAACACAGTAAGTAAGAAAAACCTGAATTCTGAAGAAGTCACTTCAACTTTAAAAGCCTTACTGCCCATATAGTGTAGAATCGCAATCAGAATTCAAACTTGTGCTCACTCCAACTTACCATTCAAATCAAGGAAAAGTACAGGGACATGTGTTTCCATTCCAGATGGTGGGATCCTAACCATAAGAAAGCATCTCAATCAATATAATGAATCATATTTTTTTACAGATATATTAATGAAAAACACAATCCAATCAAAGAGTTACTCAAATTTGCATCAGTACAGAAGATTAACAATTGGGATACACAATAAAAAAACTGCAATGTTTAACTTTTCTTCTTCAGATGCTGTATATGGAGAAGGTTTTCAAAAATTGAATTAAATTAAATCTGCATCAAAACATGAAAATGCTATATGAAACTGCTTTGCTATAACCTTAATAATATTTTATACATTTTATCAATCATTTGCTGATGTTGACACGCTGGCTTTTTAAAGCTTTGGAATGGACAATGAAAACAACACTTTAAAAAGATATCTAAATAAATAAATGTAACCAGATTTAACCATTTTTATATTCTTGGATTGAGGATGATTGGAGGTAATTATTTCCATACATAATACAGTCCCCTGATATTATGTGGAGGCACAGAACAGGAAATATCAAGGAAGAATACTAATACCCAAAGGACACTGGATGCTTCAAATGTAAAAAAAAAATAGTATGATACACTATTTTCAAAATCTTACTTTGAATATTCATTTCTAATATTATCTGCAAGCAGTCTCAAAGTTGCAAACACGATTATGTAGGTTTGTTCTTAATTTGAATTTGTATGAAAGTCGGAACAGGTACACTTTTAAAGTGTAACTCCATATACATACATATATATAAGCTTTGGATAGCATAGAGAAGGATTAACATTTCTGTGGTGTTTGTTTTGCTCTTTGTGCCCCTGTTCAGAAGATTCTACCTCACTTTCTGTCCCTGTGATAATTACATTTTGAAAAAATGGCTTGTTGTGGAAACAAGGATTGGTGAGAAAGCTTCAATGGAGACCCTTTCCCCCATGATAATTCTTTCCAAAGGGTGGATTTCTCTCACTTCCTGTTGTATCACCCCCATTCTTAACTATGAGTTGCTTGTAAGTCAGATGTTTGTAACTGTGGGACTGCCTCCATTGTTAATTGTCTTCATAGTACTATTGTAATGTGATCTGAAAAACTTCAATATATACAGAGATATACATGGACTTAACACAGCAGTTGTTTCTTTTCCTTTTTGGTATTTATTAGTTTGCAAACTTTTTTCCGTATCAGGAGTGACTTGAGAAAACTGCAAATCACTTTTAGTGTGAGAGAATTGGCCGTCTGGAAGGCCCAGGGGACACCCGGATGTTTTTGATATTTTACCATCCTTGTGGAAGGCTTCTCTCATGTCCCCGCATGGGGAGCTGGAGGTGTCAAAGGGAGCTCAACCCACTCTCCCCAGATTCAAACCACTTCGTGTTGGTCAGCAAGTCCTGCTGGCACAAGGGTTTAACCCACTGCACCACTGGGGGCTCCTACTTTGCAAACTGAATGTAATATTCACTCAAAATATTTTATGTAGGCCAACTGCAAATCAATGCCTTTTTGGCACATACCAGTCTGCAGGGGCACCTGGGATCCCACTATTTGGGGCTGGAACCAGGACAGCATTCCTTTCTTCTGTTAATCCCACCCATTGCTCCACAAGCCTTGCTTCTCGTTCCATGTCATCATCTGTTTTTTCTATGGTAGAAAAAGATAATAGCATATGAGTTCCATGAAATGCTTAGGATTTTGGAGCCTGCTTTAGATTAGCGCAAATACGAGTCAAATATAATACAATCAGTAAGACTTTTGCCTTCAATGACGGCTTTCTAATGAGCTGAATATCAGAACAGTTGTCTCACTAAATGTGTCTTTCAAGAACAGTTCAGGAATATTTTTTGAAACTATTTCAAAAATAATATATCACCATAGCACTCTGCATTTTTAATAGCAATTTTCTTTCAAAGTACCATATATAAAAATCCAAGGGTCACCAACCTTGTTTGCTGCTGATTTTTTTAATCTGCTCGTCTAAGTATTCTCTCCGTTTTATTAGTGCTTCAGACCACCGCTCTCTCAAACAGTTTAAGTCTTCTTCCTATTGAAGAGACAGCACTCTTTTCTAAACATAAAACATACCCCAAATCATAAGATGCACATTTAATTTAATATAATTTCAGCTTTGATTGGAGATAGTAATTGAGTAGTGTTGATGGCTCATATACAAAAGTATAAGTGTTCATTTACATGAAATAAGAGATCACCCAGGAAAGTAAGCTTGCCCAATTTGCAAACAGCAAAAAAGAAAGAAAAGGTGGCATTGCATCAGCTGCTCCGTAGCTAGGTCAATGTTATCCATTGTACAGTTGTGACTTATAAGCAGACCTAAGCAGAATAATAAAACAGTGGCCAACAAATTATTTAGCAGCATACGGAAATGAAAGAGATTATAAAGCTATCAACCCAGATAACCTTAAAATCACTGTAAATTCCATAATAAGTAACTGCAACCCGAAAACTAAATCGTTCTCATGCAAACAAAATCCATCATGCAATCATGCTTTCTGACACTATATATTTAATCCAGTCTTTATAACACATTATCAGGAAGCAACATGAACAGCTGGAAGCAAATTAGTGGCTAATTTAGGCTCAACCTACTTTTAACAGCAACAGGGCTGTGGATTTAAAACTAGATCTGTCATAATCATAAAGAAACCTGTGCAGGGCAGCTTCATGGTTAAGTGCAAATCCTTCCTTCTGTCTGCTGTTTATACCCTGAAGCCATAGTTCCCTCAGACAGTCTTCATACTGCAATAATGCTCCCAAATTAGAGTACTTAAATAGCAGAGGAGTGCTGGGTAAGAAAGGATGCAGGGCTGTATTCAGTGTCTAAAGAGGGATTCCACGCTCCTCAGCCACAAATCGCTTAACCACTCTCCTATTTCTTCATGATTGCACTAGATATGAGTTTAGATATAGCTCAACCATCACATGTAGACTAAGGTGTTTATCATGAAAGGCTAGTAAAGCACCATCCTTTTTCACCAGTGTGATTCCAGTGAATGGATAAGGAGGATGACAGCTGGAATCATGCGTGAGGGAAGTCCATAGCTCTGATCTTTCCCTTCCCTTCAGAATGCTGCAAGACTGTCTTTAACATAACATCACCAGTCTCTGTCATTGTGCTCAAGCTAAAGAAGGACCATCCTATAATGGTCTTTCATCAACAACACAGGAAGATCATTTTCTATGGTCTGAATTCTATCACACTGTTTACTTTTTGATACTCTGGGTTTTGGGCTTCTGAAATTTTACCTTCTGATCTTTAGCTTTTTGTATTAGTTTTATGGTTACATTTTACTGTGGCATATTTAATGGAAGGGAGGAAAAATATTTTTTTATTCTTTCATAACTCAGCCACCCCAACATACTGACAGATAGGGATGTTGTGTGAAATAAAATAGTGTACTGTACAATTTAATTGAAATGACTAATTCTGTAAATCAAGGGAGACCTTTTAAAGCAAAGTGTATTCCAAATCCTACTCCCCCTTGTGCAACTGCTCTTTTGGAGGCTTGTTGGAGTTGATGACAATTAGCATTAGCTGTGCCCCATGCCATGTGATTTGATAGCAACAGCAGCAATACCTGATAACTATCCATATCACCATCATCATCATCTCCTCCTCCTTTCTGGTAGAAAAAAATACACTTTATGAACATATAGAACATGCTTTTTTTTTTTGCTAACACACTCCAAATAAGAACACACGCAAATGTTGCTGACACACTCCAAATAAGAACACGTACAAATGCAGATTTTTTAAAAGAAAAATCTCCAAGTCTAGCCTTAATGGCCCACCAGCAAAAGCACAGGAACAGGTGCCCTTCCCATCTCACACACTGCAGAGGATGCACAAAACAAGGCCCCAGTGGTAATATCTGGGCATGCTTTGGTCTCATTTGGACAAATATACCTCCATGTTCTCAAGGGACAGCAATAATTTAAAATGAGGCCTTTAGTGCTATTTGGCAATGTTCTATGTTTACATATACAGGCAGTCCTCAGGTTACAAACAAGATAGGTTCTGTAGGTTTGATCTTAAATTGAATTTGTAAGTACGTCAGAACAGGTACATTTTTAAGTGTAAGTCCTGCAAATTTGGCTTGTTGTAGAAACAAAGACTGGTGACAAAGCTTCAGTAGAGACATATTTTCGCCATGATAACTCTTCCAGGAATGAATTTCTCTTTCAAAAGGTAGATTTCTTTTACTTCCTATTGTCTCACTCCCCCTCCCCCTCCCCCCTCCCTGCCTTCTAAACTATGAGTTGTTTGTAACTTGGGGACTGCCTATATTTTGAAATGATAATTGCATGGAGAAATGTCTAATCTTTTTTCTGCCATATAATAGTAATCATCAACATTAATGAGTGAAGGCAGTCTTAATTATTACACCTTCAATTTGGTAGTGCTTTACAACAATGAATATGTGATTATATACTTTTGGTGGTTGGAAGGACTTGGATTCAGTCTTTTTGAACAGATAATCTGAGCTGTTAAAACACTGCATCACACACTTGTTAGGGAATCAGCATGTGAAAGTAAACACACAACCCAAGAGGCTACATATGGATGAGTGTTCTTTTTTAATCTCATGCAATAATGACCTTGCCAAATCAGATGTGTTTGTTTCATGTAGCTCAACTTGTTTTACATTAGTTTGACCAAAATGTTTGAAGGAAAATGGTATACTTCATTTTGACATCTTTCTACATTTTATTTAGCAACATTCTGCACATACCTAATACCTCTGAAGTTCTCAGAAGGGAAATAAATGTAGCCAATGAACACAAATATGGTACCAGATTTTGGCATACTTTTTTCTAGTCTCCTTCAAATAGCTTCAAATATACAAAAATTAAGGGACATGAGAATGCTGCTAGCATGTTAAAGAGTAACCTACTATGATTTCTCTTTCTCGAGGCCAACCAGATGTGTCTATAAGGTCAACAAGCACAGCTTGAGGGAAGTGGTAGCTGCTTTCCTCTGATATATGATACTCAACATGATGCTGAGTCTAGAATTGACCTTCTATTTAGTTATTTTGGCTAACAGTTCTTAAGAAAACCATCATCCAAGTATAACTTACAGTGTACATAGATTCCAAACCATGTAGTTTTACAAATCAATCTTGTACCACACTTCAAAAATTCAGTAATTTAAACTAAAGGTTTTTTACCTGGTAACTGTCCAAGCCCCGTTGCAGCTTGGTTGACCTGGCAGTTACACAGCCAATGGAGACAGACAGAATGGCTTCCACCATAAGTGGCAATGTTCCTGAATGTTGCACAGGTTTAACCGCCACTTGAACTCTACGAGAATGGCCCTGGTTCAATAAGCAGAGGAGAAAACATAAAATAATGTAAACATTTACTGGGAAATTGGGATTGTTTTTTTCCCTAAGAACAGAAAATTCCACTGTACCTGTCTAAGTTGGAAAACTCCTCCTGTGTTTACATCCTTTGCATGATGAAGCTCCACAGCCATATAATCCCCCATTTCATTCAGTTCTTGAATTGAAACCCACATTTCTATCCGGCGTGTTACTTCATTCCATCTGAACACAACCCAAAAACTAAATTAACACGAATGCTCAATGGAAAATTTCTAAAAGCATTTCCTTTCAACTGACTGGCTGTAAAGTTCTAAGGCACACAAAACTCTTGCTGCCAAACCAACAGACTATGGGCCCTTCCAGACAGCTCTTATATCCCAGGATCTGATCCCAGGTTTTCTGTTTATCCCAGATTATCTGGCAGTTGGGACTCACATAATCCAATTCAATGCAGAAAACCTGGGATCAGATCCTGGGATATAGGACCTACCTGGAAAGGCCCTATGTAAAAAAATTAATTATTTCCATTCATTTTCTTCTCTCCTCCGACATTATCTCACACACATGTCCCTTTGTCTCTCTCATATTTCAGATTTCCATTCCAACCACAACTACACTTTTTCTCTTCCCCAGTTCACCACTCTCCCATCTACTCCTTCTTTCACTGAATGAATGGCCTGATTCTGATGAGGCTTCACTGCCATGAAGATCAAATGATATAGAGATACCTGTCTCTCAAAGTTCTGGTTTTTGCATGAAGAGTATCCACCTCCCATATTGAACTGCCATTTCCAGCACATCTGTGACCCCAAACCTCAATGGCAAGTGCTCCTTCAGCAATGAACTCCAGAAATTCTTCTGTTACATTCACCACATAATCCTAAAAAAATGGTGCAAATAACCCTCATTTTATTATTTCTGTGGCAAAGACAAAAACTGAGAGCATTTTAAGTGTTAAGATATTTGTGCTAATATAATTACCTTTCTCCCAATGGAGAAAGTTAATACCACAAATTAATTCATATGAATTATCATGCAGTGCATTATGATTTCATGGAATGTTGTCCATATATCTATGTCATATCATTACTAATCTCAGTTATTCTGCCACATGGGATCAAAATCTAATGCAGGTTGAGCATCACTTATCTGAAATTCCAAAATCCGAAATGTTACAAAATCCAAAATTGGCAACATGGGTGGTTGAGATAGTGACACCTTTGCTTGCTGATGGATCAATGCATGGAAACTTTGTCTTATGCACAAAACTATTACACATCTTAGGTATAAAATTACTTTCCTGCTATGTGTATAATAAGATGTATATACAAAAAATGTCCAAGTTATTAGGAATATGCAAATATTCCAAAGGCTGAAAAAAATTCAAAATCTAAAGCATTTTTTTATCTCAAATATTTTGGATAAGAGAGATTCAACTTGTAATGTCCAAGCTTCATACCACTGTGATAAATCTGAAATAGATACAACTACCAACTTAGTAGTAGTAATAATAATAATAATAATAATAATAATTTATTTATATCCCACCCTATCTCCCCGTGCGGACTTCTTTAAAATAAAGTACAAAGCTCGGTTTTTAATGACAAGAAAGGTTATGAAGACAGCCACTCTTAAATGATATGTGTGTTGATACTGAATATCTTTTCTCTGCTTTTAACTGTAACTGTAACTGATCTGATACCTGCTATTGTTAGTTAGTTGTTATTATATGTTATTTTATTTATTTTATTATACTACACTGTAGGCACTTTGAAAATAAATAAATACATATCGATTTTGCATTCCCATCACCATCACAGGAGAGAACAGTTTTACCTACTGTTTATCAGAAGGATTTCATTCTATCCCTACCATTATGTGGGACTGGTCCCTCCTCTTTCCCCAGTCTTCAAACAGTTTATTCTGTCCTTGCTTTTTTCATCATCCACAGATGGAGAACGATGCTGTTTGTGGATTGTGATCTAAGCCAGAGTTTGTTTCACCCTGTTCCTCTTAACCACCTGAGTTTGACAACTACTCCCACCACTCTTTGAAACATTTTTAAAGTCTACATATGAAATACCAAGGACCATAAATGTTCAATTTTTTTAAAGCTGGTGAAGAATTGGCAAAACAACCCCTGAATATTCCTTGCTTAACAAAACCCTATGAAATTCATGGAGTCTACAATAATTGAAAGCTGAACAAAATTACCTTGCAATGGGAAAAAGTCACTGTAAAGTGGGCATCCTTGCTTACAGGTGAAGGCACATCAGGATCAACAACTGGTGCAGCAACAGTTGACTCACATTGATCCCAGAAGGTATATTGACAGAACACAAAGTTTGAGAGATTTAGTGGTAGTCCTGTTGCTTCTTTAATTATCACCTGGACAAAATCAAATTCAGTATGCTGTCATATTTATAATAATATATTTTCATAAATAGAGTATTCAGTTATGTGTAAATGGCTCATAAACCTTAAAAAAATTACTTTTCACATATGTACTGGTATTTGTAAAACCAGAACAATTTATCTTCTGCGGTTTCTCCAGCTTTGAATTCTTAAATTTCTTAAAGGTTCATTTTGTTAACTTAACTTGCCAAATGGATTTTCCCCCTAAAACTGTTACTGAAGGTAAAAACGGTATTACAAACAGTGATGTTCTCTATGGACATGTTTGAAAGTTCATGCAAGTACAGATGAAAACTAGACCAGTTGCAGAAACACTTACTATTAATGTAAAATATGAAAGCAACACAGAATATTGCACTACTACATCTGGTGCTTCTATAATATTAAAGTAATATAGTATTGCCCTCACCCTGCAAGTGAGTTTTTTCGGCCTGTGAATAATTTCTCCATTGTTGTCCATGATTTCTAAGCTTCCACTTTCACTGGAGTTTTCAGAAGAGTCATCTCCCTCCATGACTCGTTCTGGGACAGCACCAGTAACACGCATCACTTCAACATGCAGGCGCCCTGCAACCTGCATTACAGAAATATTAAGATGTAAGCCTTGAGGCACTGTATAGCATAAGTCTCCCAAACAAATACACACATTCAGAAAATGAACAAAAAAATCACAGAAAACTGTAAATCATATGCGAGTATGGAATGGTGCAATGATAACAGGAATTATCTGAACTATGATATTGGATTATGTGATCTTAATAATTTTAATATTGAAATGTTTTACTGGGTGTTTTAATGTATGTGTTAATGTGTACTCTGTTTTCTTTTCAGATTGTATATGTTTTTATTAGCTGGATACGTATTGTATGTATCGTATGGCATCAAACTGTGCCTTTATGTGCACTGCTCTGACTCCCCTTCGAGGTGAGAAGCGTGGATATAAATATAGCAAATAAATAAATAATTGTTGGAACAATCCAACTTACATATAAGAGCCAGAACTATAACAAGTACAATTCTAATGTGTTTTTTAGACTAACATTACACATCTAGAAATGAAATGGAAGATACAAAACCATCCTTCTAAATAATCTGTAAAAAACCTTTCCTTTTTGATCTAACTCAATATGAAGGGAACTTAAGCACTGGTTGGAGAATGAAGAAAAACTGAATTACTTGATGTGTTGACTTCCTTTGCTCTGTTGTACACAAGATGTCTCTTTATTCCCAGGCTTTATGTGGGGTCACTTCCTGTTATCTATTAACTATCAAGAAACGATTAGAACAGTGGTTCTCAACCTGTGGGTCCCTAGGTGTTTTGGCCTACAATTACCAGGAATCCCAACTAGTTTACCAGCTGTTAGGATTTCTGGGAGTTGAAAGCCACAGGTTGAGAACCACTGTATTAGAATCAATTGTTTGCATTTCTACTACCAGGTGCTATCATCACCTTAATCTCAATTTCCATCATCATCATCATCATCATCATCATCATCCCACTTTCTATCTGCTAAAAGAGACAAAAAGTGACTAACAATGCTAAAAACAATCCAATGCATAAATTAAAACCTAAGAAATATAAACACTGAAATAGAATTAAACATGTGAGTATTAAAGGTTAAAACCAGTAAATCATTACAAACTATTAAAATACATAAAATACTACATGTCTCCCTGAAGATACAACTGTAGTACTCAAAAGAAGGCAAGCAAACAGCAGCTCTCTAGATTAACACAAATCCTTCCACTAAAACAACAATCTATTCATGGCAAAGTGTCACCTTTAGAAACCAAATTAAGTCAGATATCAGAGACTTACCTCTCCCTGCTGGCTAATAATTGGCACGGCATACTGAAGTTTAACATCACAGAAAAGGCACTCCAAAAATACATTTGCTACACCAATTAAGTTGTGATTTTCTTGTGCTTCATAGAAAGGATCACCTCTTTTTCCAGTGAGTCTCTTCATCTATTTTTTTAAAAAAGACAAATTTTATTTCAAAATCGTAAATGATACAATGTGAAAACCCATTATACTGAATATTATAAAATATATCCTATATTGTCATATTTAGATTTCTAACTTAACCTCTACAAAGCAAGTGAAATAAAGGCAAAAAGTATCAATGAGTGTATGTAAAATACTAAGACTAGAATATATGAGAAAAATAATCCATCTTTATATTCTACTGAAAACTATCAATTAACAGGACCACAAGCTTATTCCATTTTAAAATAAGTTGAAGACTATCATACTGAAGACACAAATAAAATACTGCCATGCTATTTTTAAATGCAAGCACTACATTTTATGTTAACAAAAGTAATATGCTGACAATAACTTACAAAATGTATTTATTAATTTTAAACAGCTGAACACACAGTTGTTAGAAGGAACTCATTATATTTAGATGATTATCAAAGGTGTATATTGCCATTAAATTACAACAAGATAATCAACTAATATACGTAAGCTATAACTGAAAATGCTGTCTGACAAATATTTCCTCATTAACATGAGATTTTAGTGAATAGGATTTGCAGAAATATGCTTTTTCAAAGGACAGTATTGGTAAGGAACGTTTCAGCCACACTTGAAAACTGATTCCGTACCTCATGGGCATTCTCTTTCCATTCTTGATAGAGATCTCTCATGTCAATTAATTTATTCTCTAGTTTTTCAATGGTCCACACTTGAGTACCTTTCCCTTTTCTTCTTGCTTGAATAGCAGGCTCACTTACTATTGCACCTCTCTGAAGAAAGAATGGAAAATGAACTTAAAACACATTTTTAAAGTTTGATTTTTGCAGTGTAAGTTCTAGAGTACAATGGAACACATATGCCAATTATTATTTCATCCAACATTCGGCAATGGCATCTAATTGCCCAGTTCAACGGCAGCTACAACACTGCAGCCCATTTATCAGTGATGCTACACATCACTCTTATTTACTTGATGTCTAACCTTACACACCTTACAAAACTATCTTCAGATTCATTATTGCTTTGTAGTGGTCATGCCCTGAAGTAATGCCCATTAGGAAAACTTGGGTCAAAATGCCCACTGGGAATGGGAGGCTGAAAATGGCTGCCAGGAGGGGATTAGAGAATGGCCACAAGGTGGAGGAAGAGAGAAAAATGGCACCTCAATAATGGTGTTTTGATAAAGTGGGAAGAACCATGCTTTCCACTGGAAAAGACAAGTGGGAAAAAGAATAAGGTGTAGAGCAGGAACCCGTAAATAATGTTGAGAAAGTGCACTTATTAACAAAAGACCCTCCTCATAAATGTACATGAGGGTAACTTATTAGCCGCAGCATGACCAGTAGCCAAAAGTGGTAAAAAGAACAAAAACGCAGACCAATGTTATCTCTTCCTTATGAGGCTTTTCTTTATAACAAAATAATATGGTTGCACCATTTACAAGAGCAAGGTTTCCATAACACAGTTCTTTATATGTCCTTCTTTGCTTCTATGCTGGCCTTCTTTCTCATGCAGATAAACAGCTTTATTCTCACTGAGCTTCTTCTCTCACCAATCTTACACAGGAGTTAAACATAGTAGCTTTTTACACACAGCAGCCTTCACACTGGAGCTTCACACACAAGGTCTTCAACATGGGGCTTCGCTCACCGAAGCTTCTTCTGACCAGGCCTTCTCACACTAGGCCTCTCACACTGAGGACTACTAATACTGAGGTTTACCTCACAATGAGGCCTCTCTCAGACTGAGGCCTCTCGAACACTGGAGCCTTCTCATACTGAGGCTTCTCTCATACTGAGGGCAACTAACACTGAGGCATACTAAGCTACAGGCACACTTGGTTAGCTTTTGCTGAGTCATTGCAGCTATTTAACCCTTTCAGTACCTGACTCACATTTTTGCAATCAAAAATACCTAGTTAATTTTAAATATTTCTGACAAATAATTCTTGGGTCTCATGGGGCTGCCAGTATGGATTATGACCAAGACAATGAGAGCATATGCCTTTGGAAACATCTGAATTTTAGCCTCAGAGTTTCCCATTGAGTCTCAACAATGGTGTTGTCAAAAAGATGGAGGCATTAGAGTCAAGAGGATTTCAAATCAGCCAAGAGTTGAGCCCATGTCAACTTCACCTTGTCAGTGCTAGTTCAAGATCCTGTCTGAATCTCACAGAGGCATGCCCCTGCCCTTTGATACACTCCACTCCCCAGCAGCCCCCCATGAGATATGTTTGCCTATTTCACACCAGGGCCTACTGTCTCCTTCACACATAGAAGTATTTCTTTGCTATGGAACAAGACCTGCTTACATATGAAAACAACACATCAGCAGGAAAAAAGCGGTGACTCTAGCATACTGGCTTTCTGCCCTTGCACAATGAAGGCATCCATGATTCAAACAAATAATATCCCAGCTGCCATCAGACTGTAATTCTGTGAAAGATGCACCATGTCACCTTGGTGCATGTATCAATTAGACATCAGTCTTACTAAAGTAAAGCCCAGATTATATATTTTAAACAAATAAAGACTAGATTTTTATCAGCATAAAACTATACCACACCTGTCTCTGCATATATGAAAACAGCACAGAAAAGAATGCTGTTTCTACTGTAGATGTACAATTAAAGATTGTACAAGCTAACAGATACAGAAAAAACCCCAGAGAAATGCATATTTTAAAAATATTTTTATCTCTGTAATCTTTTAGCTATTTATTCATTGCCTTGGAGATCTTGGGAGCCCCTGAGAGATGGGAGGTAATATAGAAAAGTTTAAACACATAAAATAAAAATACATTATTTGACTCAAACTTTTTATTGTGCCCAACTGTTTCTTATCCTTTCCCTTAAATATATTTCTGAATCCAAACAACTTTTTTTCTGTTAAGAGCTTATACAAAATGCCACCAGTTACCAGTTTTCTTACCTTCCTATTGGCACTCAGATTAGCAGCAGGGATCTGCAGTGTAACTTGATAATCGGTTAGCTTGCTCATTTCTTCAGCCAAGAAGTTTGCTTCCCTTACTAGGGTATTAGCTTTAACTATTTGTTCTCTTAGTTTTGCAAGACTCTGGCGAAATAACTCATCCCTGGGGAGTCAAAAGAAATATTGTGATAGACTATTATAGAATGAAAAGATCATTTTCTTTTCTTTTAACATCAGAACATCAATACAACAATACAGGAAAACAACAATCCATCACGTCTCATCAATAGAATCAGCATCCGATCTCGTTGTCCATTAATCCATATTCCAGTAATCAATCAATTGCACTGCTTAGTTAAAAGCCTGTTCGAAGAGCCAGGTCTTCACTCTCTTCCTGAATGCCAATAAGGAGGGGGCCGATCTAATGTCTGTAGGAAGGGCGTTCCACAGCCGGGGGGCCACTACTGAGAAGGCCCTGTCTCTCGTCCCCACCAGGCGTGCTTGTGAAGCCGGCGGGACCGAGAGCAGGGCCTCCCCAGACGATCTTAACATCCTAACTGGTTCATAGGAGGAGATGCGTTCGGACAGATAGGTCGGGCCAGAACCATTTAGGGCTTTAAAGGCTAAAGCCAGCACTTTGAATTGTGCCCGGTAGCAAATTGGCAGCCAGTGGAGCTGGCGCAACAGAGGAGTTGTATGCTCCCTGAGTGCCGCTCCTGTTAGCAACCTGGCTGCCGATCGTTGGACCATTTGAAGCTTCCGAGCAGTCTTCAGAGGCAACCCCACATAGAGAGCATTGCAGTAGTCTATACGGGATGTAACCAGAGCGTGGACTACCGTGGCCAAGTCAGACTTCCCAAGGTACAGGCGCAGCTGGCGCACAAGTTTTAATTGTGCGAATGCTCCCCTGGTCACCGCTGAAACCTGGGGTTCCAGGCTCAGCGATGAGTCCAAGATCACACCCAGACTGCGAACCTGCGTCTTCAGGAGGAGTGTAACTCCGTCCAACACAGGATGTAACCCTATACCCTCATCTCACTTCTAGGCCAAAGAGCCAGCACTGTCCATAGACACCTCCAAGGTCATGTGGCTAGAATGACTGCATGGAACGCTGTTACCTTCCAGC